CTACTAACTCTTAGAGCCAAGATTCAAACATGTAGTCTAAATCTGGAACCTGTGTTCTGCATCTTCTTGCCACACTGCCTTACTTGTATATATTGTTATTTTTCTATTTGACTATACATATATGCATAAGTAGTGGATATATGGTAAATATTTTATCTGAATCTTAGTATAAGTTGAAAGAGCTGAGCCTTTTATATCTTCTCAAGGGACTTCTCATAAGAGTTTTGTCTGCAGAGTTTTAGGAAGGAAAGGTCTTTCATGCTGAGATATTTCTGTCTTTACCTTTTTAAGAGGTGAATGCCTGAGAATTAAAGGAAGGAGTTTACTCAGCTCTGTTTTTTTATTTTAGCATTTTGCATCCCAAATGTGATAAATTCATTTTAGACTTTTTAAAATGAAAACTAAGAAAACAAGGTTACCTCTTCTTTATTGATTCCTGGGTAGACCTCTTTTTCTTTAAAATCTAAAAATTATGTTATTTAGGATCATACACCTGTGGATAAGATTATTTCAGAACTTCATGATCTGACCAGCAATTATCTAAGCACATTACGTTTTGCATGTGGAGTAAAGGGAGTGTTTACTAACATATAGTAAGGTGAGCAATGAAGTAACAGAATTCTCTCATTTTTAGAGTCAAGGTGTCAACCCACAAAAGACTTCCTTGCTTTTTACAAAAGTCATCTTGTACATCTTTTTACAAAACTAATAGTATTTCATATTAGTTGCAGTTTTCTTTTCCAAAATATTTTAGTGTAACCGTGTCTTAACGGTTTCACTTGAAGGTAAATGATTGAATAAACAAGAGGTTTTTAAAAATTCTTTTATTTTTGGTGTCTTCCCAATTGCATCATCAAGGCAGTGGGAGGCCGGTGGCTCCCCTGTGTGGTTTGCTAAGTGTTTCAGAGCCTAGGGGCAGATATCTGGTGCATAGGAGGAACACCATGAACCTGAGCTCTTAGAAAAGAACCAACTGCATCTTGACATAAAAATTCATTTTCCTCTATTTGATGCTGCCAACCACACTAAATGATTTTGGAATATTATATTTTTGACAAGAATTGTATTCATTTTCTGAATACTGCTGAGCCACATTAATTCCTTTTTCTATCCTGATTTTGTCATTATCTCAATGAATTTTGAGAGACATTTTGTACTGTTACACCTCTAGTGAATTGACATTATTTTTCTCATTTTCATGCAGCTCAGCGAGTGCTTTTTCAATAAATGGGTTGAAAACACTGTGAGAGCCTGTGATGGGCATCATGTGCTGTTTGGAGAGGTTAGGATTCTTAGCCTGTGGGTCATGGAGAATATTATTGCTGTGTACAAGTTTTCACATGATGAGCCCTTAGCTGTTTAAAATACTGACTGCATTTGGAATCTGGTAAAGGTTGAATGTAAAAGTTAAATTCTTTAAAGAAGAAAAAACCCTAAAAGTGTACCTAGTCCTTACAAATTTTAACTGATCCTTTGTGATCCTTTTATTATTCAGAATTTGAAATCTGAATGGAGTTTGATGATTTTAACCTGGAATTCAATACAGAATTTATGATGCTCATTCCAGAGTTTTTGTTTTTTCCTGTGGCTCTGGTTCCTAGTTATGTGGCTTTAGACTCAACACTTTAATTTGATGTTTCCATTTCCTCACAGCAAATGGTAATGTGAACTCTTTTATTTTAATGGCCAAAGTTAATTGAAGACATTCGTCTTTTTCTAAGAATTTTAGGAAGTTTAGGTCCACATAGGACTCAAAGCTTCCTTTTTCATTTCTATAATATGGAAAATTGGACATCCTTCCAAACAGAGCTTTAGCCTCAAGCTAATTTAACAAAAGTTACTCTTAGATTACTTTTTTCTGTACTTTTTTACTAGTGAACTAGAAAAAGAGGTCAGAAAATAAATCTAGTAGAAGTTTCAGGTTCTTCTACTCTATTGAATTTTGCTCCTACCTTTCCTTCTTCAGTGATGTTGGAGACAGTAGCCTCCATTGAAACTTTAAACTAAGTAAAGTGAATATGGCCTCACAGCTGTAGATCTGATCTATTCATATGTCATCGATCTTCTTTCGCTTCTTTAAAGCCGCTGGAGTTGAGAGAATACCTAAATTTGATATCTTTGGGTCACGCTGACATTAGTGAGAGCTTTTGAGATTGTGTCCATTTAACCATGCACAACTCCTCCTGTGGAACACTTGCTTTCTTATCTTTCGGTCATTCAGTTCCTTTCTTTAAATAAAATAGTGGTTGCTTTCTAGCTTTTTAAGTTATTTATAAAAGAGATGTTAACCAAATGCCAAATAATTATTATGTTAACCAGTGAAATCTTTTACGTCACCACGGGAATACATCTCTAAACTAGACAACGAGAATGACCAGTAATAGCTCTTTTTAAACTAGAAGTACACTAAAGTAGTAATGACATTTCATTAATATTTTGAATGCTTCTCATGGCTAATTTCAATTTCAATTTTTTCTTTTTAAAATCATCAGTATTTAAATCTCATTATTTTAATTATGTCAAATTAAATGTACTTGCATAATCAGTATATTTTGTTACATGCATTAGTAAAGAGAGCACTTTAAGATCTTTTGCATACTGACTTTCTTAATATATTAAATTTGCATGCCTTAAAATAGGTTTTATGTGGAAGTTTTTGATAACATATGTGGTAGGTATATAAATCAGATACATATCCTTTTATCTATTAAACATGTGTTTATGAAGAGTTTTTTTCTATGAAGAGTTTCTTAGTTTGGTTCATTTTACTTTTCTAAATTATTTTTACAATACTCTAAGCAAACTAGATGCATGCTCAAAGTGAAAAGAAAAGGAAAAATGCACATATACAAATATTTGGAAGTGTTTTTACTATACAAAACAAAATAATAAGAGGCCATACATTTGTTCATGCATTGTGCAGTTACATGATTGCCATATCAATTATCAGGGCACAGGTCAGGGTCCTGTGATTGGGCAGATTATAGGCTTGGGAGTTACTGGTTCTGCCACTTATTAGCAAGGTGACCTGCGACAAGTTGCTGACCACCTTTGTATGTCTAAGCCTCAAGCTTCATCTATGCAATGGGGTTGATTTTTATATGTATTTTTTGGGTAGTTTAGAGGGTTAAATTCAATAATGCCAAATTCTAAGTGCACAGTAGGTTTTAGTTTATAATTTTTATATTCTTTAAATATAAATAAGAGTACAGTGCTACTGAATTTTTAAATTGTTCTTCTGAAACATTTTGTAACAAGTTAGGCATGTCTGCTTTCCTTGTGAAATTTTCATGCTACTTGTCCCTAAAGACAGATGGAAAAGTAGCTTTTCCTTGGAAGTCTGCTTGACTATTCACTTATGCAGGTTTTCTATCTGGAAAGAAATGACTGGCATAAACATGAAGAAAAAGTCGTTACTGTTGTTTTGGTGTACATACTAGTTATTTATTTAAAAGACAACTGTAAGAAGTCTTGGCATCAGAGTCTTGGTATGAAGGGAGTTACAGGTAACCAGACCAATAGATACTATAGATAGAAATGTTCAACTGTGAAGAAGCAGGAACTGGGAAAAATAAATAGGTAGACTTCCAATGACTTAAGGCATAATACACAGAGCTTTCCCATTTTCCGCTGCCTCTGTTATCTTCACTAACAGTGATGATTGAAGACAATTCACAGCAAATCACAGATCCTCCAAATACACTCCCTTTTTTGATATGGCAGTGCCAGGTAGATACATTTCTTGATGCCATGATATGTAGTTCATTTATTTTTCTTTGGTCAGGAGAAATGTCTACTCTGGTTTGGTTCTTTTTCCCTTTCACTGTATTTCATTTTTATTCTGGTAGTTAATTAAATTTCTTGTTAGCAATTAAAGTGTATCATGGAGTCTCATGAAGTCATTTGGCCTGGATAAGTTAGCTAGTTGTAAATACAAGAAGAATTCTCCTATGGGAAGGGCTAATATCTCTAGGGTTCCTAATTTCTATAGTTATTTTTTTATCATAAACTGTGAAGTTTCTGATTTGGATGTTAAAATATCTTATATTCTGGATTCATAAAAATGACTACTAGAAGGGCATACATGTAATAAATTAAAAATATATCTTACAGTAGCACTTACACATATCTGTTATGGCATTTATTACATAATGGTCTTATTATTTAGACAACTCAACAACCAACTCTCCACCTCCAAATAGACCATGCGATCTCGAGGGGCCACAGCAATTAGATACCAATGAGGCTGCTGTTGAATTTTCCATTTCTAAGCCCCATTTATGAAGACATTGCCCAGGTATTCCGACAGACATCAGTAGAGATCACTGGACTTTAGATTAGTTACAGAGACCTAATCCTGATACAGAACTTGGCATGGTACTGTGTTATCAGTAAATGTTAATTTCCTTCTTTCAGTAGTTTTTTAATTCTTTGCATTATTAGACTTCCCTTAATTTGGCTTCAGTTTGTTCTGTGGTATACTGTTTTTGGGAGACAGAATGAAGATATGGGTGGCTTAAACTTGGTAAGGTAGTAATACTCACATTTAGAATTTCCATTCACAGAAAATGAGTTTTGGAGCTAGCTGGAGTTAATTAAAAATTATCCAGTCCATTACTTTCTAAACACTTCTGAATCCCCTCTGTTACTTCAAACAAAACAATTTCATCCTCCCTTTTTTCTATCTTATATACATTTTGTGACGAAAATATTTATATGTTTTGTGTAAACAGAGGATGTCATTGCTCCCTCAAAAGGTTGAAATCAACTGATATGGTTCAACCTTTTTTTTTAATTTAATGTGTGTGTGTGTGTGTATAAATACATATATATATTTTATATATATATATATATATATAATTTATTGTACTTTAGGTTCTGGGGTACACGTGCCGATCCTGCAGGATTGGTGCATAGATACATACATGGCAATGTGGTTTGCTGCCTCCATCCCCCCATCACCTATATCTGACATTTCTCCCCATGTTATCCCTCCCCAACCTCCCCACCCCCCACTGCCCCTCCCCTAGTCCCCCCCAACAGACCCCAGTGTGTGATGCTCCCCTCTCAGTGTCCATGTGTTCTCATTGTTCAACACCCTCCTATGAGTGAGAACATGCAGTGTTTGATTTTCTGTTCTTGTGTCAGTTTGCTGAGAATGATGGTTTCCAGATTCCTCCATGTTCCTACAAAGGACACAAACTCATTGTTTTTTATGGCTGCATAATATTCCATGGTATATACGTACCACAGTTTCCTTGTCCAGTCTATCATCGATGGGCATTTGGGTTGGTTGTAAGTCTTTGCTATTGTAAACAGTGCCACAATGAACATATGTGTGCATGTGTCTTTATAATATAACAATTTATAATCCTTTGGATATATACTCAGTAATGGGATTCAATTAAAACTGGGTAATAATACATAGTCAAATAAAGCTTATATTTCAGTTTTCAACTACATTTAAATTCTGTGTTTTGAGGTACTCTAATACTTGTTTTTACTTTTTAAATGATCAGTATTTGAATATTAAGTTTTAGATTTTGGTCTTAGGCAGCCTGGGTCCGTGGGGACAAACATCAGGATTTCCTGTAGCCCAAGCTTCTTTATTCAGTTGCCCCACCAAGTTGGTGGTCACTGGGCACCTGAGGCTTCTGGATCTGATCTGAGGTACCTCTCCCTCCATAATTCATTCCACTCCTCCTGCTTGCCATAGCCACCTTGGTTGCTGAGCACCTGACAATCTCTCGTGCCTTTGGCTCAAGTTTTTCATCCAACCTAATCCCATTCTCTCTACTTTTTGAACCCTAATCATTCTTTAGGGTCAAACTCAAATGCATTATCTTTCATAAATACTTCCCATATCCTTCAATAGTAGTAACATCTTTGCTTCCTCTGTCTTCTCATAATTGTGCACATGGTTACTTTAAGGGCAGGGACTACATCTTGTCATCATTGTAATCTCTACAGAACTTAGAAGAATTTTCCGTGCATGGTTGGTCCTCAGTAGCACTTGTTATATTGTATTGTACTGAAATGTTTTGATAACACTGTCGGTGTTCTTTGATTAGAAAAAGACAGCAAAACAAAAAAAGAAACAAGAATTAGAGTAGAAAGCAGATGAACAGGACTAAGAAAGTATTGTGCTTTCATTTTCTCAATTCTTAGTTCCTGGAAGACTAATGACTGGGCCTTAATTTAACCTTTTAATTTGCTCTGTCATGTATAAATTGTATATTACCTCTACTGGCAGTATGGTAACTATATTAAAGAATAAGTAAAGGCAGAATCATTTAGATAATGAATGAATTTTCTTAAAATGGTCATGTGGGTAGTATATTTAAGTAAACGTTTTCAAGGCTGTACTAAAGCTGTAGAACACCACAGTTGGCTCTTAGATAAAAACTCTGAGTTTGTGTATAAGCCTGTAATAGAACTCCCCAAAGACAACTTTAGTTAAAACCAAGTAGTCTTCCCATGTTTATTAGAACACATTAGTGATCTTTGTTTTGTCATTTCATATTTAAAAGATATTACGATAAACTATTTCAAACAATGGCAATAATGTGAAATTCTCAGTATGGTAAGTGGTTGGTTGCATTTATTAGCAATAAGTAGGAACAACCTTTCTGTTTCATGTACATAGACATTACCGTTCTCTTTTTTTTAAGGTTAAATACTATTGATCTATAACTTGGAAAGCAAAATCTCTCTTAGCATTATTTAAAACCATATGTGATTACTGATAAGCTATAAACAATGATTTGAAATAAATATACAAATTCACTATATTTAGAAACTGATGTGTTAGCATAAATTTTTAAAAAGCTTTAGCAGCTCAATTCTCTATTATAGAGAATCTACAAATCTTATCCAGTTCCCTATTTTTTGTAGGAAAAATCCTAAAACCCAGAAAAGGGATGTGGCATCTCTCAGGATGCAGTTTCTTAGTGGCAAAACCAGGACGAAAGTTCTAGACTTCTGACTCTCTAGCCTCTTCTCTTGAAATCTTTGCTGCCTTTTAGTGCTTTAGTTGCAAAAAGGTAAACAAACATATATTACGATTTTATGATCATGGTTTCTGACACTTCTAAAAAATGAATTTATTTCTGCAAGTACTTTGGATTCTTAACTGCAGAAGGTTAATTCTGTTATGATATCCCAGGTTTCTACTCCTCCCTTACTCCTTCCCTTCAAAAATCAAAGAAATAATATTATTTTCTTGGGTCAGGATTAGCAAGACAAAAAACAAAGCAACTTACTTTCATGATCATTTGATTCTTAAAGTCAGAAATCTATTTAAATTATTTCAAGTAAAAAAAATGTACTGGAAGAACACGGAGAGATCTTAAGGAACCCAGCTGCAAAAGTACAGTCCTCGTGGGAGGTGAGAGTTGTCAACAGTTTCTTTCTGTCTCCCTCTCTCTCTCTCTCTCTCTCTCTCTCTCTCTCTCTCTCTCTCTCTCTCTCGCAGCTAGTCTCATCTCTCATTTTGTTTGTAAGTTTGCTTCTCAGTTCTTCTGTTTCACCCTGCAGACCAGCTTTCTCTGATTGCTTGCCATTGTGCATATGGACAATAATGGCTAGCAGTACATCACTCTACGACCCTACAAGTCCATTTCCCATCACTGTGTGATCAGGTTCAGTCTGTGTGTCTGCTGTTTCAGAGATTTGAAATAATCATCAGGATTGGTCCTTGGCCAATCACTGGCTTTAAGCTAAATGCTCTAAAGCTGGTTTCAATTTTAGAGGTTGTAAGCTGGAGCAGATTCCCTAAGAAGGCAGTGTAAGTGGGGTGGGCAAAGGGACTGATACATCCAATCCTCTGCTCCTTTATTATAGTTGCTTGACAGTTACCTTAGAACTGCTTTCTCTCTCAGTCACCTGCCAGTGATGTCTACAGATATTCCTGAGCCCCTCTAACGGCATTCATGGGTAAGTGGTTACCGAAATTTTTCATAATAGTCAGATCTGTTATACTTTGATGCCACTCTTGTCCTAAGTCATGTACTTTATTCACCTGGCACCCTAAGGCGATCTTAATGGTACCATCCAAATTGCCTTAATTTAGATGCTCTGTGCAGTCATTTAAGCACTAAGCTACAATTCTTTAGTGTTTCTCTAGCTAAATAATAACACTGATTAGAATGGTTGGATTTATTGAACATCTATCATACATTAGGCCAAGGAACCTGGGCTGCTTCCGTCTTCCATCTAGGACCTCAGAGTCCTCTACTGTATCCTCTATATCTGGTCAGCAAGCAAAAGAAGAGAGAGCCTGGAGAAACACATGGGAAGATGTTTGGGGTCACAAATATAAAGCTCTATTTGCCAGGTTTGCTAAGATGGTTTATAAAATTTCATACATAGCTGTCTCACATTACCTGAGAGCTACAAGTAGGCTGCAGCTCTGCTTTATCTATAGCGTGACTATGTATCTGGTCTGTGTCTTCTCATTCCAGAACCTGGATAGAACAACAGTTCCTACATGGGACATAGTGTCTATAAGGCGAGAGCAAAAGAGCAAGAGTCTGAGCAGAACCACACAATTGAATTTAAAGTTTCTCCTCATATATGTGGCACATATTATTTCTCCTTGCATTCACTGGCCAGCCCGGTTAACACGGCCAAGCCTAGAGTTAACAGGGCAGGGTTGTATTCAGTCTCCTATGTGAAAGGGAGATAGCAAATAACTGTGAACAGTGATAATCTACTATAAACACACACACACACACACACACACACACACATTATTTCATGCAATTATCACAGCACTCTTAAAAGTGGATATTATCACTATTACACAATTTATTAATTTAACAAATATAGATGAGCACCTATTATGTTCTAGATCCTGTGCTCCTGAGTAAATAAGAGTCAAGTAGGGACCCTCCTATCCTTGCCTCCTATGCATTGGTGATATGGGTTTATTTTATTTAAAATGTTATGACTCTCAGAGATACTTTATTGTAAAACAAACAATTCTCAAACTCTGGGATCAGGATCCCTCTGCACTCTTAAAAAATATTGAGAGCCCAGTGATGATGAGCTTTTCTTTTTCATATGTTTGTTGGCTGCATAAATGTCTTCTTTTGAGAAGTGTCTCAAATGCATATCCTTTGCCCACTTTTTGATGGGGTTGTTTTTTTTCTTGTAAATTTGTTTAAGTTTTCTGTAGATTCTGGATAGTAGCCATTTGTCAGATGGGTAGATATCAAAATTTTTTCCCGTTCTGTTGGTTGCCAGTTCACTCTATTGGTAGTTTCTTTTACTGTACAGAAGCTAAGTTTAATTAGATCTCATTTGTCTATTTTGGATCTTGTTGCCATTGCTTTTGATGTTTTAGTCATGAAGCCCTTGCCCAAGCCTATGTCCTGAATGGTATTGCTTAGGTTTTCTTCTAGAGTTTTGATAATATTAGGCCTCATGTTTAAATCTTTAATCCATCTAGAGTTAATTTTTATATAAGGTGTAAGGAAAAGATCCAGTTTCAGCTTTCTGCATATGGCTAGCCAGTTTTCCCAACACCATTTATTAAATGGGGACTCCTTTCCCCATTGCTTGTTTTTTTCAGGTTTGTCCAAGATCAGATGGTGGTAGTTGTGTGGCATACTTTCTGAAGCCTCTGTTCTGTTCCATTGGTCTTTATCTCTGTTTTGGTACCAGTATCATGCTGTTTTGATTACTGTAGCCTTGTAATATAGTTTGAAGTCACATAGCATAATGCCTCCAGCTTGGTTTTTTTTTTGCTTAGGATTGTCTTGGCTATGTAGGCTCTTTTTTGGCTCCATATGAAGTTTAAGGTATTTATTTCTAATTCTGTGAAGAAAGTCATTGGTAGCTTGATGGGGATAGCATTGAATCTATAAATTACTTTGGGCAGTATGGCCATTTTTACGATATTGATTCTTCCTAACCATGAGCATGGGGTGTTTTTCCATCTGTTTGTGTCCTCTCTTATTTCCTTGAGCAGTGGTTTGTAGTTCTCCTTGAAGAGGTCCTTCACGTCCCTTGTTAGTTGTATTTCTAGGTATTTTATTATCTTTGTAGCAGTTATGAATGGTAGTTCACTCATGATTTGGCTCTCTGTCTAGTATTGGTCTATAGGAATACTTGTGATTTTTGCACAATTGATTTTATCCTAAGACTTTGCTGAAGTTGTTTATCAGCTTTAAGGAGATTTTGAGCTGAGACAGTGGGGTTTTCTAAATATGCAATCATGTTATCTGCAAACAGGAACAATTTGATGTCTTCTCTTGCTATTCGAATACCCCTTATTTCTTTCTCTTGCCTGATGGCCCTAGCCAAAAGTTCCAATACTATGTTGAACAGGAGTGGTGAGAGAGGGCATCCTTGTCATGTGCCAGTTTTGAAAGGGAATGCTTCCAGTTTTTGCCCATTCAGTATGATATTGGCTATGGGTTTGTCCTAAATAGCTCTTATTATTTTAAGATATGATCCATCGATGCCTAGTTTATTGAGAGTTTTTAGCATAAAGGGCTGTTAAATTTTGAGATATTGAGATATATGCATATATTGAGATAATCATGTGGTTTTTGTCTTTGGTTCTGTTTATGTGGTGGATTACATTTATAGATTTGTGGATGCTGAACCAGCCTTGCATCCCAGGGATGAAGCCAACTTGATCGTGATGGTTAAGCTTTTTGATGTGCTGTTGGATTCGGTTTGCCAGGATTTCATTGAAGATTTTTGCATCAGTATTCATCGTGGATATTGGCCTGATATTTTCTGGTTTGACACTGTTCGTAGGAGTGTAAATTAATTTAACCATTGTGGAAGACAGTGTGGTGATTCCTCAAGGATCTAGAAACAAAAATACCATTTGACCCAGCAATCCCATTACTGGGTATATACCCAAAGGATTATAAATCATTCTTTCATAAAGACACATGCACATGTATGTTCACTGTGGCGCTGTTTACACTAGCAAAGACTTGGAACCAACTCAAATGCCCATCAATGATAGACTGGTTAAAGAAAATGTGGTACATATATACCGTGGAATACTATGCAGCCATAAAAAAGGATGAGTTCATGTCCTTTGTGGGGACATGGATGAAACTGGAAACCATCATTCTCAGCAAACTGACACAAGAACAGAAAACCAAACACCGCATGTTCTCACTCATAAGTGGGTGTTGAACAATGAGAACACACAGACACAGGGAGGGGAACATCACACATCATGACTTGGGGGAGTGAGGGTCTAGGGGAGGAATAGCAGAGGGTGGGGGTATTGGGGAGGGATAGTATTGGAAAAAATACCTAATGTAGATAATGGGGCAATGGATGCAGCAGAACACCACCATGGCACATGTATACCTATGTAACAAACTGCATGATTGGCACATGTACCCCAGAACTTGAAGTATAATTAAAAAGAAAAAAAAGGAAAGGAAAAAAGAACATTGAGAGCCCAAGAGAGCTTTTCTTTATGTGGGTTGTGGCTCAATATTTACCATGTTGGAAATTAACACTGAGTAGTATAAAAGATGTTTATTATTTAGAAATAATAATAAATCCATGTCATATTAGCATTAATACCTATACAAACCTATACATAAAATATCTCTATTTTCTAAAATTAGTGAAGAATGACATTATTTTACATTTTTGCAAATCTTTTTAACGTCTCACTAAATATAGAAGACAGGTAGATTTTCTTATCTGCATCTAATTCAATCTGTTGTATATAATACATCATGTCACCTTTTGAAAAACTCCACTATATGCTGTGAGGGAATGAGAGTGAAAAACAAATAACATGTTAGTATTGTTATGAAAATGGTTTTGACCTCACTGAGTTCCTGAAGGGATCTTGGAGACCCTCAGCCATCCCCAGACTACCTTTTGAGGATCAAGAATCCCTTAACCACATTTTGGAAACTGCTAAAATATACCCTAAAAGCAAATACATGACATTCTCACTTAGTACATTTTCCTGAAGTGTCACCATTTTATTAATCTGTTTCACAAATTAGGTAGCTTTATCAGTCAGGTGTGCTACTAACTGCTCTAACAGATAATCCCTAAATTCCAGTGGCTTACTTGACACAGTAAAGCTTCATTTCTTATTCATGTTGTAATTCATTGCAGGCCAAAGAGAGGGGCTCTGTTTCTCAGAGTCATTTAGGGGGACCTAGGCTGCTTTCATCTTCTAATCTAGGGCCTCATAGTGTTCCGCTGGATCTTCCATATCCCTTGCTTGTCAGCAAACAAGGGAAGAGAGAGCCTGGAGAATCACTTGGGAGGATGTTTGGGGTCATGTTTCCCTGACCAGAACTCATACATCACTCATAACAGTATTGTGGGCTAGGAAACAGACTCTGGTTATATGCCCAAAAGAAAAGGAAATAACTGGGCTAGCCAAGACACACCTGCCTCCACCAGAGTAACAAGTTTATGCTGATTATTCTCATTCTATACATAAATAAGTTAAAATTCAATTATTTGTTTTCAGCTTTTTGCTCTTACAAAGCTTAAGTGGCAAACAGTGTAAAATAGTAACACCTTATGGTTTGAGACAAGTTGTAGGATCATGCAATTTAAATTTTTTTAAAAACTTTTTTTGTTTGTTTTTATTGCATTTAAGGTTTGGGGGTACATGGGAAGAACATGCAAATTTGTTGCATAGGTACATACGTGGCAATGTGATTTGCTGCATTCCTCCCCATCACCTATATCTGGCATTTCTCCCCATGCTGTCTCTCCCCAACTCCCCACCCCCCGCTGTCCCTCCCATAGTTCCCCCCAACAGACCTGTGTGTGATGCTCCCCTCCCTGTGTCAATGTGTTCTCATTGTTCAACACCCTCCTATGAGTGAGAACATACAGTGTTTGATTTTCTGTTCTTGTGTCAGTTTGCTGAGAATGATGGTTTCTAGGTTCATCCATGTCCCTACAAAGGACACAAACTCATAGTTTTATTATGGCTGCACAGTATTCCATGGTATATACATGCCATGTTTTCCCATTCTATCATCGATGGGCATTGGGGTTGGTTCGAAGTCTTTGCTATTGTAAACAGTGCTGCAATGAACATTCGTGTGCATGTGTCCTTATAGTAGAACAATTTATAATCCTTTGGTTATATACCCAGTAATGGGATTGCTGGGTCAAATGGAATTTCTATTTCTAGGTCCTTGAGGAATTGCCACACTGTCTTCCACAATGGTTGATCTAATTGACACTCCCACCAACAGTGTAAAAGCGTTCCTATTTCTCCACATCCTCTCCAGCATCTGTTGTCTCCAGAAAAAACTTTATTTTGAAATAATTTCAAACTTAAAGAAAAGTTACAAAAATAATAAAAAGAACTACCATATACTTTTCACCCATATTCACGAATTATTAACATTTTGCCACATTTGCCTTTACAGTTTTTCTCTATGTATGTGATCGTGTGTGTATACACATTTTTCCCCTAGAGCTATTTGAGAGTATGTTGCAGACCTCGTACTCCTTTATTAAACACTTCAGTATATATTTACTAAGGACATTCACTTACGTGACCACAGTACAGTTTTCGAAACCATTTAACGTTGATGCAGTGCTGCTATCTGTGGTATAGACATACTGTCCTTCATAGCAATTATGTTTTTGATCCAGAATTACACAGTACCTTTAGTTTTCACTTGTCTTCATTAATTTGGAATGGTTCCTCAGCATTTCTGTGTCTTTCACATCAGTGACACTGCTGAAAAGTACAGGTCAGTTATTTTGTAGAATGCCCCTTAATCCAGTTTGTCTGATGTTTTCTTATGATTAGAAAACATGATGTGATATGATTCATCTTTGGCGAAATCTACTATGTAAGTGATGTTGTGCCCTTCTCAGTGCAGTTTATCAGAAGGCTTATGATGTTTACAGCTGATGTTAACTTCCATCACTTGGCTAAGGTGGTCTCTACCAGGTTTTCTCATAGTAAAGAAAACCTGGTGGGGACCACCTTAACCAAGTGTTTTAACTTCAGTATTGGTTGAGTCATTTGTGGAGCTATAATTTGAGATTATGTAAATATCTTCTTCTTCATTAAGCTCTCATTCACCAGTTTAGAATGATGATTCTTGCCTGAACTCATTATTACTATAATGGTTACAAAATAAAGTGAATTTTTAAGTTATTTTCTAGTAACACATGGAAGAACCAAGTGTAGTAGACATTTATTAGTTGTCTACCTAGCATACTTTGCCACATTTTTCTCTTCCAAAAATTATCTGATGTTTGTTTGGGTCCCTTCGCTGGCCAGTGCAGCCTATGTGTGTCTAGTAAAATGGATCATGGTATAGCCTCTGGAGTGGGCTTTGATTGATAGGTCAATTAGTGCATTTCATTTATTTAGCCACATTTATTCTTTTAGGAATGGGAATCTGACCTATGCTGGGCCAATTTGAGTGACTTTTATGACTCTTGTTTAGGATGCTAGACTGGGCAGCACTCTGTTTGTAGCTGGCACCCATCCTGTGACCATGAGGACAGAACTGACACCAGATGGCAGAAAGGGAGAAACAAAGTAATTGGGTCATTGATGACAGCTTTGAGCTGCCGAATCAATCAATCCTAAAGCTCGCCCTACCTCAATGGTTTCTAATAATGTGAGCTAGTACATTCCATTTAGGTGAACTTGCTTGAGTTAGATTTTTTGTTAACTTTTGAGATAAAAGAATCCTAACTGATACTCTAACAAATAAATAGTAATAACTGTTTAACCTGGAATCTAAAAATTCATAAGGAGGATGAATGAGACTTTTCTACTATCCAACAGCAACCAAAACACGGGTGTAGGGCTTTTGTTTGTTTTGTTTGTTTCTCGTAAGCTCAGTGACAGGACCATATCATAGGCCACTAAAGATTACAGTATCAGAATCAGCATTGTATACTCTGTTTGCCAAAAGGTACTTGAGTTGCTTTTTAGTAGTAAAGTTGCTAAAGTTATGGGTGGGGGGGCTAGCATCATTTGGACTCATTTCCATTCACCACAGCAACTTGAGTGAATTAAAGCACAGCCGGAGCATCAAGCACAAGTTTGTTGGGATGTCACAGGAAGCTCACGAGCATTGATGAAGCTGGGCGTGGAAGCTAGTACTAGAAAGTCTTAAGCACGCTCTGTCTTTCAGCTTAGCTTTTTCCATATTTTGCTTCATTTGTCCGCCAGGCAATTTCAAAATTCCTAGAGGGAGAATATGATTGTGTTAGTTTGGGTAAGGCATTTACCCCTGTTCCGTTCAGTTGTGCTCATGACTATAAAAATGGTTTTAGAAGACCCTAGCCCTGTGGGTAAGGAGACAGAGATTGAGGAAGGAAGAGACTCCGAAGTTGGCTGCTAGAAAAACATTTGTGGATGCCACAGCCAGCTGCGGGCATAATTGTAAATAAGAAAAATTGGTTTGTGATGCCTTTCTTCTTCCCTCTCAGGACCCCTCTCTTCATCATTAGCCCGTGTTTCTCTAATTTAAATTCTTGCTAAGATTCTAACTAATAAAATCTTAGATTCCAGGATGTTTTCTGTTGTTGTTGTTGTAGTTCTTAAAGTGTAGTTCCTGCATGAGCGGCATGGGCAACCTTGGAACTTGTTAGAACTGCAAATTCTCAGGCTTTGCCCCAGACCTACTGGGAGAGAAACTCTGGAGACAGGACCCAGCAATCTGTGGGTTAAAACATTTTTTGTAAACATTTTTAGTTAACAAGTAATAATTGTGCATCCTTACGGGACACAGATTCCCTATACATGTATTTCAGTGTGCATATACAATATGTAATGATTAACATTCATTATCTAATTTATTATTTCTTTGTATAATAAACATTTAATCGACTCTTCTAGCTTTTTGAATGTATACAATAAATTACAGTTAATCATCTTCCCCCTACAGTGCTACAGAACATCAAAACACATTCCATCTAGCTGTAATTTTGTATGTATTAACCAACTGTTCCCCACACTCTTCCCATCCTCTCATACCCAAAATTTTACTCTCTGTTTCCATGAGCTCAGATTTTTTTGTTGATCCTCACATATGAGTGACAACATCTTACTGTTGTTACTAAGTTCACTTAACATAATGTCTGAGACTTAGTTCATTTAGCATAATGTCCTCCAGCCTCATCCATGTTACTGCCAGTGGCAGGATTTCATCTTTTTTTATGGCTGGATATTATTCCATTGTGTATATATGCCACATTTTCTTTATTCATTTATTCACTGATGGACACTTAAGTTGATTTCATATCTTAGCTATCTATCAGCAATCCATGTTTTTAACAGGTCGTTTAGGTGATTCTGATACACTTGAAGTTTAAGAACCACGAATTAAGGAATTCCTGAAAACCCACAAGGTAGCTAGAACTTAGGATCTGGCTTCTTCCCAGCATTTTGTCCCAACCTGAGCATCCTGGTACTGCCTGGATATGGAAATGTGGCCATATGTTCTTCACCCATTGCTTAGAAGCCAGAGAGTCCCAACCTCTGGCTTCTAAAGAGTAAAACAGACTTCAACAGCAGAAAAGTTGTTGTCCATAGCACTAAAGCCTCCATCTCTTTGGTTTAGCCTTGAGAACAGACCACCATGTGTCTGGCATTTTTTAGAAATTTGCCATCTTATGGAAAGACGTCTGAATGTCTGTAAGACCTCATTCTAAGACTGCATGTGTACTTTTATGAAAGACATTCAGGAACACAACTGATTCTTAAAGTGAAGTAAATGTGAATAAACTAGAGGATTAGATACGCTGTTTCCAGTGGCCTATAGCCCTTCTTCCTCCTCTACCTTCCAACCCTCCTCCTTCCTCTTTCCTTCTTTTCCTTTTCCTTTCTCTTTCTTCTCTTTTCTGGCATTTTGTTTCTTCTTTCTCTTCCATTTCTCCCTCATCCTTTTTCCTCTTTCCCATTTTACTTCTCTTTGTCTTCTTTTCCCTCCATCTATTTTTTTTCTTGCCCTTTGCCTTCTACTCTTTTTTTTTTTTGAGATGGAGTCTCACTCTGTTGCCAGGCTGGAGGCTGGAGTGCAGTGGCACAATCTTGGCTCACTGCAACCTCCTCCTCCTGGGTTCAAGGGATTCTCCTGCCTCAGCCTTCCAAGCAGCTAGGAGTATAGGCATGCACCACTATGCCCAGCTAATTTTTTGTATTTTTAGTAGAGAAGGGGTTTCATCACGTTGGCCAGGATGGTCTCGATCTCATGACCTTGTGATCCACCCACCTCAGCCTCTCAAAGCTCTGGGACTACAGGCATGAGTAACCACACCCGGCCCCTTCTCATCTCTTTGTCACTCTTCAGCTGCTCTGCTTCCTTCTCTCACTTCTACTCCTATGGGAATAAAGTTACTCAAGAAGAGAAAGTGGATGTCTGAGGGCTGTAGGAAATGGTAAATGCTGTTTCTTTCATCCTGGTTGCTAACTACAGACATCTTTAGACACCTGAAGCACCTGCAGGATTATTCAAGATCTGAGCCTGCCCCCTCCCACATCTGTTCAACAGGAGCTCAACCTTAGGCTCTTCAGTCCTTAGTTCCTTCAGCCTCACTATTAAACCCACATCTTAACCTCAGAAATGAGCTCAATTGTTGTGTACTGGTAAATGTTTAATACTTGGCTCTGGGGTGGGATGGAATATTGAGGGTCCTGATGCTTAGTGCTTCTAGTTTCTGTGGTGTAAATATTCCCACCATGGCTGCTTTCAAACTAGCAATCTGACTTCACTGAATGTGGAGCTGGGAGGAGATGCTTACCGTGGAGCCTCACAAACCAGTCAAGCATACTAATAAGGAGGACCTTACATAGCCATGTTCCATATGTAGTACTCTGTTAACTCCTTAACAGACTTTTTTTGGGGGACAGCCATTGAGATAATTAAAAGAAGCAGCATATAATAATTGCCACAACACTAACTTTTAGTTTGATTAAATAAAATTTAACTGCAAGTACTGTCAAAGAAATTTCAGGCCTTTCAACTGTTACCCTCTTTTTACTTGTGAGTCTGAGCTTGATATCCCTATGAATTGACAATACTATTTGGAGTACAGGTATCATAAAGTTTCAGTTAATATTTAGTTAAAAAGTAGGAATATCATCCAGTCACCTTACTTTTTTTATTTGAATTCTACATCATTTCTGGTGGATTTGTATTATTTTTAAGTAGCTTCACATTATGTTTTATGATACATTTCTTTCTGCAACAGTTTTGCATACAGATGGAAATGTTGGAAATCTAGTTTAAGGTTGATGTTTTTTTCCCATTTTGTTATGTGATTGATCTGGTCAGTGAACAAGAAATTCTTCAAGGCCATCCATCACTCTAGGCAGCAGCTGAGCTAAACCTTCTAACTCACTGCTTGCAGTCAGTCATGCAAGATTTGGGTTATAAATATTGAATGTGCAAACAACTGTTTAAATTAGCTGTCCTATCTGTTTTACTCAATTTCAGTAGCAAAGCAAGCTGATACATTGTTTAGTGGCAAGAAGTAGAAGACGGTTAATTCAGTATTATCCTTGCATACGTCATTGAATTCATCCTGTTGGCAAATATTTAAAATAGTTAGATCAAATTAATTCTTTTTCCCTTAAGTTAAATGAGAACTAAAGCAACTGAGCATGTAATTTATGTAGTTTTTTTGGTTTTATATTCAAATAGTAGAAAGACTGTTAGTAATTGTAAATGTAGCCATCTGTCAAAAATATAGTAGCCAATTGTTAAATGCTTAGTTCTGTGAATTTTGTTACCTCTTTGCAATAACAAAAATAGCTTAATATTTGGAAAATATTTGGGCAGGAAGGAAAAATAGCAGCTGGCTTATCCTACCATTCCTGGGAAGCATCTAGAATATTGAGTATGTGCAGGTGTTAGTACTTCTGCTACTTGGAGTTGTAACAAGTCTGCATACTTTCACTGGTGTTGGTATATGTAATAGATAAAATGCAGACCATTTGTGCTAACTCCTAAAAGCCTGTCTGTGTGTAATGAATTTAGGTAAACTCCCATAATTGCTATCTGTGTCTAACATTTATTCTTAAAATAATATGATGCTGAGAACATCCTTTCAAGTAGCAGACATGTATCTAAGCCTACATTAATAAAATAAGTGAACTGCTTACCAAAGAGAAGAGTGTTCAGTAGCATGTGTCTCTTAGTAGTTGGATCACAACCTAACATAAAAGTTGGACAGGATTATAAGTTACTTCCTGTGACAAACACTCCTCAATGCTCACCAGTATCCATTTTTCTTTTCTTTCTTGAACAGAATTTTGGTCAGGATAGCAATGAGCCTAGCTACATAGACTCACCTTCCTAGACTCCCTTGCAGCTAGAGATGATCACATAATCTAGCTCTGATTGATTAAATGCAAGTGGAATTCTATGGCTGGAAATCCTAAGAGAGCATTTTAAAAGGGACAGGTTCAGCTAATTTGCTCCTTTAGCCCTTTGTCTTTTTGTGTGTTGCTCTCTCTTCTGATACACTTCTTTTTATGATTTAATATCTAAGTCTTCATGAAACTGTGCATTCTGTCTTTTAAAATGCTGTCTACTTTAGAATTATACAATTAAACTTTTACTTATGTCTTTATGTGGAAATAAATTGAACCAGCCTTGCCATATTAATAAACTATATTACATAAAATTTAATAACAGTATTGATGAATAATTTTAGTGATAACAGTCACAACTGCAAGTAAAAAAATAATTTTCTTAATCTCATCTCTCAAGTCTTATTTCTCTTCCTTTTTCCTTGATTAATTGCTACGTTTTCTTACCCTTCGAGTGCTTGTAGTCCAATGGAGGAGGCCAATTTAGAAACAGTTATGCAGAGTTATAAGTTCCACAAATGTGTGTCTAAAATGCAAATCTGATTTTATTATTTTCCTACTTAAAAGCCTTCTATGAGCTTTAATGTGGTATTGAAGGTCTTTTCATTCTGGCTCCAGTAGTCTTGTCCATCACATCTCCTGCCTCCGTTCTTTCTCTCAGCATATTTCCTCAGCCTTATGCTACCTAAAACCACTGGACTGTTGGTAGGATCCCGAAACTATCACATACTGTCATTCTTTCATATCCTTGTGTATCCTTTTACTTCTGTACCCTTTTTTTTCATCTCCATCTGTGAAATCCTACTCATTCTTCAAAAACTGAGTTATCTTTAAGGCATTCTGTGACTCTTCCAAGTTAAATTAATAACTACTTCATCTTCTGTGCTTCTCATAACATTCTTTTTATACTTCTATGATAGGATTTATTTGGTCAATTTATGGTTACAGATCTGTCTTTCCTAGTAGACTGTGAGTTCTATGAAGAGATAAACTATGCTTTAGTTTGAAGCTCCAGTATCTTAGTGAGTGTCTAGAAAGGAGTAAATGCTCAAGATTTTTGATATGTTTTTATAACAAATAAATAACTTAAAACTCTCTACACCTTTCATTGAGTACTAGGATTACTTGTAATTAATTAATTTATTAATTAATTATTTACCTGTTCACTAAATGTATCTCTGTGAAAGAAATGCTGCTGGTGATAAAATAATCTTCTATTACCTAACAAATAATTGTCTATCTGGGTCATCTCTTCATTTGTTTTTACTCTGACCCATGATTATGGTTTTCTTGCTTCTTTGTATGTCTTTCATTTTTGGATTATATACCATACACTGTGTAAATGAAAAGCAAAATCTGAAATAAATAACACTTACCTCTAGGAAAGAGCATACCCCTTTCTCTTTTAGGCTAATGGAGGTGGAGGCTGAGTCAGTCTGTGAGTAGGCTGAGTCTGGGTTTTTTCTTTTTTTAATTTGGAGCTTCATTTGATTTAGTTTTCTTACTATGTCCAAGTCTTTTGAGGGTAAAGTCAGATAATAGGGCTTGAATCTGACTACAAGCAAGATTTATCTTATTTAGTAGGGCTTGAATCTGACTACAGGCAAGATTTATCATATTTACAGATATGTGGCCAGCTTTCTAAACTGTGGGGATCTAGCTACAACATCTATCACCCCATTAATCTCCAGGGTTGATTTGGCTGATGTGACTGGCTAAGTGGGTGACCCCTTCCTCCCTGACCACTCCATGTGTGTTCCTCTGCAGCTGTGAGCTTGGTGATGACCTTTAATAGAGGAGGACTGTTCTTCAGTCATGAGTATATAAGTAGCTGCGCTCCCCTTTGAACAAGCTCTCAAACTGGGGATCTTCCTCCGCTCTGTAGCCTGGATACCAGCTCATTGGACCATTAGGGAGTTCTCTTTGGTTCTTTGTCTGCCCCTAGCTTCCTGTACCTTGGGAAATCTTTTCTCCTCCGGTTGACTGACCCACGTCTACCTACCAGTGAAGGTTGCCCTGTACTCTGAAGGCCTACAATTCCTTGGAGAAGGCTCCTTCACCTTTCCTTACCACTCCCAACTTCTGGTAGCTGAAATCTCAGAGTGCCTTGGGTGAATTTCCACTCTCCTTTTCCACTCTCCACATTCCGAATACCTAAAGACCCAAAGGAAAAAGTTGGCAAGCAGGTGCAGAATTGCTTTGTAGTCAGGGCTTCTTGGAATTCTAATCCATCATGTCAGCCTGCAAGCAGCTGTTAAAAGGCTGGTTTTTCCTTACCCCCATCCATGGCTGATTCCTTGTCCTTCTCTTGCCCTGCTAGAAATAAGAACAGCCATGGGTCTTTCCTGTGAAGGGCTTAATCATTTGTGAAATTTAATTCATTTAGTTCTTTTTGTATCTCACTCTCTGGTAGATTTATTTTGTTCTCAAATGTTCATGACGATTTTATTTAAGCTTCCAGCCCAAATGTCCATCAGCAGGTAAACAGATAAGCAAAATGCTGTATACCCATATAATGGAATACTGCTCAGCAGTAACACAACAAACCACTGATACATGAAACCACATGGTTGCATTTTAAAACATCGTGCTGAGTTAAATAAGGCAGATATGAAGATATATGTACTATATGATTATATTTGTATGAAATTATAGAAAATGAAAGCGACTGCAGTTAGATTAATATTTGCTTGGTGCCAGGAAGAAAAACTACATTAATTTGAAGATGTACAAGGACAATTTTGGGGTTCATGGAAATGTTCTACAAATTAATTGTAATGGTAATTAAATATATGTATACAGTTGTCAAAATTCACCAAAATGTACATTTAACATGGGTGCATTTCATTGTATCTACATTAAATCCTATTTTATTTCTGTGGTTTTTGAGGAATAGGTGAGTTTTGGTTACATAGGTAAGTTCTTTAATGGTGGCTTCTGAGATTTTGGTGCACCCATCACCCAAGCAGTGTAACTGTACCCAACATGTAGTCTTCTATTCCTCACCCCTTGTCTCCCACTTATAAGTGAAAACATATGATATTTTTTTACTCTTATCTAGTTGCTCTGGCTAGGGCTTCCAGTAGTATGTTTAATTGAAGTGGTGAAAGTGGACATTCTTCTCTTGTTCCAGTTCTCAGGGGGAATGCTTTCAACTTTTTCCCATTCGGTATGATGTTGGCTGTGGGTTTGTCATAGATAGCTTTTAGTACCTTGAGGTACGTCCCTTCTCTGCAAGTTTTGCTGAGGGTTTTATCATAAAGGAATGTTGGATTTTATCAAGTGCTTTTTCTGTATCTCTTGAGATTATGGTATGATTTTTGTTTTTACTTCTGTTTATGTGATATATCACATTTAGTGACTTGCATGTTAAACCATCCCTGCAGCCCTAGGATGAAACCCACTTCATCATTAAATCATGATGTATTATCTTTTTTATATGTTCTTGGATTCGGTTAGCTAGCATTTTGTCGAAGATTTTTGTATCTGTGTTCATCAGGGACATTGGTCTATAGTTTTCTTTTTTATGTCCTTTCCTAGTTTTGGTATTACGGTGATAATCGCTTCATAGAATGATTTAGGGAAGATTCCCTTTTTCCTCTGTCTTTTGGAATAGTTTCAGTAGGATTGGTACCAATTCTTCTTTGAATGTCTGATAGAATTCAGCTGTGAATCCATCTGGTCCTGGAATATTTTTTGTTGGCAATTATTTCATGACTGTTTCAATTTCACTACTTGTTATTGATCTGTTTATAGTTCCTGCTTCTTCCTGATTTAATCTAGTAGGGTTATATATTTCCAGAAAATTTTTCATATCCTCTAGATTTTCTAGTTTATGCACATAAAGGTGTTCATAGTAGCCTTGAATCATCTTTTGTATTTCTGTGTTATCAGTTGTAATATTTCCCATTTTGTTTCTAATTAAGCTTATTTAGGTTTCCTCTCTTCTTTTCTTGGCTGATCTCGCTAAAGGTCTGTCAGTTTTGTTTATCTTTTCAAAGAAACTTATCTTTCATATTTTTTTCCATTTCATTTAATTCAGCTCTGATCTTTGTTATTTCTTTTCTTCTGCTGAGTTTGGGTTTGATTTGTTCTTGTTTCTCTAGTTCCTTGAGGTGTGACATATATTGTCTGTTGTGCTCTTTCACACTTTTTTTTTTTTGAGATGGACTGTCTTGCCTTGTTGCCGAGGCTTGAGTACAGTGGTGTGATTTCGGCTCACTGCACCCTCTGTTTCCTGGGTTCAAGCAATTCTTCTGCCTCAGCCTCCCAAGTAGCTGGGATTACAGGTGTGCAGGCCCAACAAATTTTTGTATTTTTAGTAGAGATGGGTTTCGCCATGTTGGCCAGGCTGGTTTTGAACTCCTGACCTCAAGTGATTCTCCCACCTCAGCCTTCAAAAGTGCTGGAATTACAGGCATGAGCCACCATGCCTGGCCTCTTTTAGACTTTTTGATGCAGGCATTTAATGTGAACTTTTCTCTAAAGACCACTTTTGCTGTATCCCAGAGGTTTTGGGAAGATGTGTCACTATTGTCTAGCTGAAAGAATTTTTATTTCCATCTTGATTTTATTGTTGACCCAAAGATCATTCTATAGCAGATTATTTAATTTCCATGTATTTGTATTTTTTAATTTTATTTTATTTTTTGAGGTGGAGTCTCACTCTGTCACGCAGGCTGCAGTGCAGTGGCGCGGTTTTGGCTCAATGCAACCTCTACCTCCCAGGTTCAAGTGATTCTCCTGACAGCCTCCCAAGTAGCTGGGATTACAGACATGTACAACCACCCCAGGCTAATTTTTGTATTTTTGGTAAAGATGGGGTTTTGCCCTGTTGGCCAGCCTGATCTTGAACTCCTGACCTCATGATCTGCCCACCTTGGCCTTTCAAAGTACTGGGATTACAGGTATAAGCCACCACACCTGGCCGTATTTGTATCATTTTGAGGGTTCCTTTCAGAGTTTAATTTCTAGTTTTATTCCACTGTGGTCTGAGAGATTACTTAAAATGATTTCAGTTTTCTTAAATTTATTGAGACTTGTTTTGTGGCCTATTATATGGTCTGTCTTGGAGATGTGCTGAGGAGTCGAATGCATATCCTGCATTTGTGGAGTAGAATGTTCTGTAAATATCTGTTAAGTTCATTTGTTCTAGAGTATAGTTTAAGTTCATTGTTTCTTCGTTGACTTTTTGTCTTGATGAACTGTCTAGTGTTGTCAGTGGAGTATTAAAATCCCCAACTATTACTGTGTTGTCATCTATCATTTCTTAGGCCTAGTAGTAACTGTTGTATGAATCTGGGAGCTCCAGTATTAGGTGCATATATATTTAGGACTGTGATATTTTCCTGTAGGACTAATAATTTTATCATTTTGTAATGTCTTTTATTGTCTTTTTTTGCTGTTGTTGCTTTAGAGTCTGTTTTGTCTGACAGAAGAATAGCTACTCCTGCTTGCTTTTAGTTTCCATTTGCATGGAATATTTCTTTCTACCCCTTTACGCAAAGTATATATGAGTCCTTATGTGTTAGGTGAGTCTCTTGAAGACAGCAGATTCTTGGTTGGTGGATTCATTCTGCCATTCTTTATCTTTTAAATGGAGCATTTAGGCAAGATACATTCAATGTTAGTATTCAGATGTGGGATACTGTTCTATTCATCATGTTAGTTGTTACCTAAATACCTTGTTTTTTCATTGTTATTGTTTTTTAGGCCCTGTGAGATTTATGCTTTAAGGGGGTTCTGTTTTGGTGTATTTCAGGGTTTTGTTTCAAGATTTAGAATTTCTTTCAGCATTTCTTGTAGTGCTGGGTTGGTGGCAGTGAATTCTCTCAGCATTTGTTTGTCTGAAAAAGGCTTAATCTCCCCTTCATTTATGAAGCTTAGTTTCACTGGATACAAAATTCTTGGCTATTATTTTGTTTAAGGAGTCTAAAGATAGGACCCTAATCCCTTCTGGCTTGTAAAGTTTCTGCCAGAAACTTTATAGGGTTTCCTTTATAGGTTACCTGATGCTTTTTTCTCACACCTCTTAAGATTCTTTGTCTTGACTTTAGATATCCTGATGACTGTGTGCCTAGACTGTGACCTTTGTGCAATAAATTTCTCTGGAGTTGTTTGAGCTTCTTGTATTTGGAAGTCCAGGTCTCTAGCAATGCCAGGGAAGCCTTTCTCAATTATTCCCTCAAAAATAAGTTTTCCAAACTTGTATGTTTCTCTTCTTCCTCAGGAACACCAATTGTTCTTCTGTTTGGCTGTTTAACATAATCCCAGCTGGATGCGGTGGTTCACACCTGTAATGCCAGCACTTTGGGAGGCTGAGGTGGGCAGATCACGAGGTCCGGAGTTCGAGACCAGCCTGAACAATGTGGTGGAACTCCGTCTCCACTAAAAATACAAAAAAAATTATCCTGGCATGGTGCATGCCTGTAATCCCAGCTACTCAGGAGGCTGAGGCAGGAGAATTGCTTGAACTCAGGGGGCAGAGGTTGCAGTGAGCTGAGATTGTGCCAGCCTGGGTGATAGAGTGAGACTGCATCTCAAAAACAAAAACAAAAAACATATTTCCGATTTGTTCTGCTTGTTCTAGTCTATTGTTGAGACTTCCACTGCATTTTGTATTTCCCTAAATGCCTAAATGTATCTTTTCTTTCCAGAAGTTGTGATTCTTTTTTCTTTGTATTTATTTCTCTGGGAAATTTTTCATTGGTATCCTGTATTTTTTTTAAATTTCTGTAAGTTGGTTTTTACCTTTCTCTGGTATCTCCGTAAGTAGCTTAATAACCAACCTCTGAATTCTTTATCTGACAATTCAGAGATTTCTTCTTCGATCCATTGCTGAGGAGCTAGTATCATCTTTTGAGGGTGTTATAGAACCCTGTTTTGTCATATTACCAGAATTATTTTTCTGGTTCCTTCTTATTTGGGTAGAGTATTTCTTAAAATTGTTCTTGAATTTATTTTTGATTGGACTGTGGTTTTTTAAATTTAAATTTCTTTTTTCCTCTCATAAGGACCCAACCTTAATGTTTATTTTAGCCTAATTTAATTCTTGGGGTTTGTAGGAGTGAAGACTCTGTATGAAATCCTTAGTGATAGAGAGTCTTTATGTATTGGCTTTCCCCAGTGTTGGTGAGTGGTAGTTATATTCTTGGTATATGTGTGGGTTCACTGTCTCCTGTGGAGTTGTAATGGCAGGGATCTCTTGAAACTTATCTTGTTCTCTCATGATGTACACTTTATTTATTTATTTGCTCTTTCTCAGTTTTTTTTTTTTTTAACTGAGTTGATGATTTGGTCTTCAAGTCCCAAGGGAGGTATTCCTGGTTAGGCAGCAGTTGTGGCGAAGGCAGGTGAGTAGATGTAATACTCAATGGTGGGCTAAGGTCCCAGCTTTGAGGAGCTTCGCTAGGGAAGTTCTCAGTTAGATGTGCTGAGGTTTTATCAGGGTGAAGAGTGGGAGCTACCAGAGTTCCCATACCAGGTCAGCAGGAAAGCTGTTAACCTTACAGCCTCACTCCTGTCCTGATATTTTAGCTATTCATATCAGATAGGCATCTCTTTTCATCTGTAGGGATGTTGATGTTCCAAGTAGGAAGGAATTATGACTCTGCCTCTCATGTCAGCCTGAATCTGGGGTGTGCTTCTTCTGTGCGGCTGCACTCACCCTGGATTTTTCCAGAAGGCTGTTTATAAGTGCCTCCAGTGTTTCTGTGGGGGAAGCCCCAGCTGTGTCTTCATTGGAGTGCTGGGGAAACAAGGACCCTTTCTCTAATGCCTTTCATGATCACAGAGGCTGCCGTCTGTTGGGATATAGGTGCAGACTGTTCCTATTGCACCCAGCACTGCAGTTGTGTCTCTGCTGTGAGAAACCACCCACCAGTGGAAAGATCTGAAACCCAAGCCCTGCTGTTCAGATGTTTTTGTCCCACAGGGTTTTTCCTTGATAGGATGCTCTCCCCCTTCCCCTAGGATTGGGGCTTCTCAAAAGCTGGACTTCAGTGATTGTTATTGCCCTTCTTTGTCTAGCCACCCAGCAGGACTACCAGGCTCCAGACTCATGCTGGGGAATATCTGCAAAGAATCCTGTGATATGATCTGTTTTCAGGTCTTCCAGCTGCAGATACCAGCACCTGCTCTGGTGGAGGTGGCAGGACAGGTGCCACCTGTAGACTCTGTGAGAGTCCTTGTTTGTAGATATATTTAGTCTGTTGGCTTTCTCAAATGCTGGTATGCTAGCAGTGAAGTTGGCACGTAGACAAACTCAGGACCTCTTGTTAGCCATAGCTGTTGTTTTCTCCTTGCTGGGAGTCAGGTTATTCTGTCATGAGTGGCTGTAATGGCTTGAGTTGGTTGGCCTCCAGCCAGGAGGTGGTACTTTCAAGAGATCGCCAGCTGCAGTAGTAGAAGGGAGATCTAAGCTTGCCCTAAGTTGGCTGGGGGAAATATTCTGGTTTCTCAGGTGATGGGCGGAACCATAAAGGTCCCAGGAGGTTATGTCTTTTGTGATTGGCTACCAGGGTGGAGTAGTACCTTCAGGTAGAGGAGTACCTTCAGATGGGAGCAGGATTAGGTGGGTGTGAGCTCAATCTCTCCTTGGGTGGGGCTTGCCACAGCCACTGTTGGGGAGTGGGGGGTGGTTCTCAGGCCAATGGGGTTTTGTTCCAGAAGGGAGTATTGCTACCTCTCCTGTGCATTATAGTTCACAAGGAAAGTGGGGGACATCTGGTAGCGAAAGGCCTCACCCAGCTCCAGGCATTTGGCAAGGCCAGTCTCGCTCCCGTAGTGCCCCACTAACAGCAGTGAGCTTTGATCCAGGCAGCGTGCTCACAAAACTCAGACTTAACCCAGGCTATAAGCTTCTGCACTGAGAAGGCAAGCAGCTTCAGGCCCTACTCCTCCCTGTCTGCTGCCCACAATGTCAGCAGTTCCTGTGCTCGCATCTGTGGCAGTTCCCATTTGCTCCCTGTCACCCGGAATGTGATCAAAAAAGTTTGTGCCCAGTTGAAATTATTACAAAATTTAGTTGAAAGCTTCTTTCACCTTGTGACCCCTCCGTAACTGTGCCAGCTGCCTACCCCAGGGGCCTCTGTGAGATATTGTCAGGGATGGCTTCCCTGGGATCAAGTTAGAGAATGGGAGTGGCTGCAAGGCTCTTCTTGCCACTGCTTCTACTTTTATATTTCGTTCAGCTCCCCAAATCTGTTCTAGCTTTAGGTAAGGTTAAGTCCTTCTGTGATCTGGATTTTCAGATTCCCCAGTGGGGATGTGTATTTAGAGGCAGGATTCCCTGCCTCACATTTTGGGAACTCACATTTTTTGTGCCTGTCTCACAAAATTTGCAGCCACATTTGCTGCTTCTTTCAAAGGATCTGTGAATTATTTCAGTTTTCCTGGTAGGTTCCTGCAGTGGTTCTTGGAACAAAAGTTCATGGTATGAGTCTCCACACACTGTTCAGTCTGTTCAAGTGGGAGGTGCACATTAGCCCTGCTTCCTGGCCACCATCTTCCTCCCGTCTCCTTCTGATGGATTTTTAAAGTTATGATTTTATAGTTTTCTTGGCTTATTTTGGTTGCTGGGATGACACTAGCAGTCATTTGCCGCTGTCTGTATTCTAACCTATTCTCTCCTCCTCCCTCCCTCCCTCCCTCCCTCCCTTCCTTCCTTCCTTCTTTCCATCTATAGATGTGTGTATCTATACATGTACACAGTATATTACATGTTTATAAAAACATAAATGTAGGGATTTTTAAAAATACTTTTCATTGAGGAACAGCTCTATCTTGTGAATTACTTCCCTTCCTCTAAATGCCCAAATTACCATAAGGTGTTAGTTTTAGCTTTCCTAAATAAATGAGAGATTCGAGTCACTGGAAACCACATTTGTTTTCATCTAATTCTGTGTATCTAGGATATTTTGTAAATGAGGATTTACTACTTCATATTATCTTTTCAGCCTCATCAAATCTGGAAATGAAAGTAATCAGTACTTAAATTTCATTAGTTCACAAATAATGTAGTCTCTATTGACCACCAAAGAAAATTAAGAAACAGATGATGAAGACATTTAATTACTTTAATATATTGCAACTTTTATGATGAGCTAATTATAGTTCTACAACAGTTATTGTCTATCTAGAAATATAGTGGTGAGATATTAAGCAAGACGTTATCAGTATTCACATCATTTTAGTTTATCTAAAGTGATATAAAATGAATGTAAGCAGAAAGCTTAATTCATAGGAAAAGTATATGAGAAAAATTCACACATGGTATACTTTAAATATATTATAATCTCTCAGAGTGGCATTTACTACAGAACAAAGTATTGTGTAAGGTGACTTTGTCTGAAACTTGTCTGTATCAGCTAGCTTTTTCTGCATAACAGGCTACTCCAAGAGTCAGTGGCTTAAAAGTATTATATATTTTTTCTCATCTATCTTGGGCCAGGCAAATAGGGTTGGACCATGCATGTGGCTGGACTTGCTTCCTCACTGAGATTTGGGGTAAGGCTGCTCCACATGTTTTCATTCTAGGGCTGAGACTGAGGACGGAATCCACCAAGGCCTCTCCCATGGCGTTGGTAGAGACACAACTCAATGAGCAAAAACACATAAGGTCTCTTGAAATCTGGGCTTAGAACTAGCTTACCATCCCTTTTGCCTCATTCTATTGGTCAAAGCAAATTCATGGCCATGCTCCAAATTAACAAAGAGGTTATATAGGTACTTAAGAACCTCATTGTTTTAAGGCACTTTCTCTGTAGTTGGTATTCACTAATGTGGGGATGCTCAAATCATAAGTTTACATGGGACTAGGCAGATACTGGAAATGAACAAAACAGAGCTGTGGGGATTATGCAGTGGAGAATTTTTACCCCGGTTAAAGAGGTGGGGGCCTCTAGCTACAGCTGACTGTTACCAAGTAGAAGAGCAGATCATGTTTACCAAATCTTCAAATTTCTCAAGAAAACCAAGAAATTTAAAATTTTTAATGGCATCTTATTTTTAGAGGTTGGTTATTTTTTTTAAAAAGATAATAACTTGTTGGCCAAATCCAAGAGGCAGATTTGCACCTCTAGTTGGTAATCTGTGCAAAGCCAAAGATTGCTTGGAGACTTCTGGAACATTTTCCATTATACTGGCCACATCTATAGAGGCTAGAGGGCATTACAAATCTTACCATAATGATTAATGTTAATAATAATTCCTTAAATTAGTATGCCACTTTATAAAACACTCATTCTCTCATTTGATTGAAGTTGAAATATATGTCTCTTGCTGTCTCCAGGAAGCAGAAAATGCCTTCCCCCTGTTCCTCAGATGCTTGTTGGGTGCTTCAGACTTCTGCTTGCTTACCAGATAGTTATTGAGCACCTGCTGTACATCAGGAACTGATCCAGGTTATTAACATATGTATATCGGTGAACAAAACAGATGAAGATCCCTCCCCTCATGGAGTTTATGTTCTTTCTCTTTATAGCTTGACCCCCTTGTCCTAAAACTGGATCACCACCTCATTCATAGGTTTGTCCCATTTGAAAGTATTGACAGTAGAAGCCTTGTCCTGTAACTATATCAAGACATTTATGAGGTTAGAACAGCCAAGGGTACCAAAAGTAGGTATGTTTCACAAAGAGCAGAGTGTCAGTTATTCCAATGTGTCTCTTAAGAGAGCTGCTTCTGCACTTAGTTTAAACGAAAGCAAGTTTGAAAAGAGCCCTTAGTAACTGGGGAAAAAGAAAGTGAAATTAGGAAACCTTCATCCTATTGTATGTGCTGTATGTTGTTTTCATTACAGGTTCCTTTACTTTCTTCTGGCAAGTTAGCTTCATACTTCTCCTGGAATGCTGTAATGTGGTAAAGTCAGTATTGACCAACTTTAACCATTATCAGGCATAGTCTGTCACGTGGTCAATTACATCAGTTGCTCCATTTTCATATCATGTCTGGAAAACAGATAACAGATGTCTTTAGACTTTTGCCTTAGTAAATTGAGATTTCATGTGTTTGTGTATAGACTTATAAATACACTGTATCTCTGATATTAACTTGGATCTTTTATGGGGATCCCTATGGATTGTTTGGGCATACATCTGACTTTGGGTTTAGAAAGGTAATGAATAGTACTATAAATATAATCTAACTATAAAAGCAGTCGGTAGCTTGCTATTCTGAAGCACACCTAAAAGCAGCCTATAACTTGCTATTCTGAACCACATTTGACTTGCCAGATACTAAGTCTGTGTCTGAATCTCTTAAATAGATTAGGCTGCATAACACCCATAGCCACCAATAAATTGTTTCTGGTTAATAGACGTGCAGCAAAAGTTCATTCCCCCCTTCACCCATTCTATCTGTTGTCTTGTTAAAGAGAGAGAGAGAGAGAGAGAGAGAGAGAGAGAGAGAGAAAGAGAGAGAGAGAGGAGAGGAGAGACTGTTTCAAAAGCCAAACTCAACTACCACCCCCTTTCCTCTGGCAGTATGCCTTCTTAGTGATCTATACAGTCCTATAGAGGCAGTCTATCAGACTTGATATTGTTATAGTTGTATCAAAGAATCTTCAAGGATAAAGTATAGAAATTAAGTACATAAATTATAATTTACAATATGTGTTATTTTACCATTGATTTAAATCTCTTAGGTCTGTTTTCTTTTTTTCTCTTTTCCTTTTGGAAGGCTTCAGCTCTTTGAATTTGCTCTCCTTATTATTATTGTTTTAATTCCAATAAGCACCCTAGTTTTAGAAATATTTAAATGTTTTTTAAGCTTCTTGGAATTAATAGGTGAATTCTTATTTTTCACCATTTAATTTAAATCTAGTTTTCTATATTTTTTCTCCTATCAAGTTTTCTTTTAAACTTTCTCCCTGGGTGATGTCTTTTTATAGTTGAATTTCTAGTCAGTGACCTTAATTTGAGTTCAAAACTGTGATATTTTTCATGTATTATTCACCCAAATATCAACTTGGTGCCTCTTGAAGTTTCTGCTCCAGAAACTCTACAAATGGGCCTTCCTGTTTGTGGAGAGAAACACACTCTACTCTGGTCCCTGAAACAAAACCTCCTGTATTGTTCTTCACATCCTATATGCCCTCCAATTGCCACCCACTCTCTGCCTCCATTTCTGGTAATCCAAATTTTCAACCCCTCAAATCTTCCTCTGATTCTTCATGAGTGCCCACTGTCTCATTAATTGACAAGCCCTGAAACATTTCCAGTTTCCCCTGACTTCGAGTTGGAGGGCTTCCATCAGCATTTCCAAATGTCCTCCTCACAGTTCCCTGTCCACCTTGGTAAAGCTTCTATTTCCAGATCTTATCATCAGAGTATTGTTTCCTTTATTTAAAAAAATAACGCAAGCATTAGTGTCTTTACCATGATCACATTCAGATTCCCTGACTCCAGCTAAATTCAGCTGCTGAAGATTTTCACTGGAATTTGAAGCTGAAACATCTCTTCTTCACTGCCACACTTCTGCCATAAGCTTTATCTACACCCCACTCCTGGCCATCTTAGGAAACTCACACAGATGGAGAGTATTCTAGTGTCACCCTAAGAAACAGAGAGAGACTCATTAAAAGAAAAGATGTTTATTTGGGAGTGAAGCATTGCAATGATAATACACATGTGTGTTTTCAGGGGGATAAAGGGCGGCAAAGGTTTTTAAAAGAAGAAATGAAGGAGATTACCTAATTGTTTTGAAATAATTCTCTCTGGATTCAAGATCAAGGGTGACACAGTTCAAGGTTGAACAAGCAGTTTCTGGGCAGATGTTCTTGCAGAGGTTTTTTATTCCATATGGTTATGATGGCTTTCATGCAAGGTTGTGCTTTCTGTAAAGACTGTTTAATTATGAGGCATACAAGTCTGAGCACCCTCTCTTTGTGGCCTTCCTCTGTTCCGTTTGTGGGGTTCCTCTTGTTTTTTTTTTGCATTAGTGACTCCATTTTGGTTCTGACAGTTTTCACAGCAACAATAAGTAGCATATACTGCAAAAGGGCAAAGGAAGAAAATTCAGATGTAGCATTTCTATACTAAATTTTCAGAGTTGAAACTGGATTTTCTAGTGTTTCAATTGCCAACTGCCATCAGGTACAATCCCTGAAGTCCTGTTAATATCTATGAAGACTCTTTTTTTTTTTTTTTTTTCTTATTTTTTTATTGCATTTTAGGTTTTGGGGTACATGTGCAGAGCATGCAATACAGTTGCGTAGGTACACACATGGCAGTGTGTTCTGTTTGCTTTCACCCCTTCACCCACATTTGGCATTTCTCCCCAGGCTATCCCTCCCCACCTCCCCCTCCCACTGGCCCTCCCCTTTTCCCCCAATAGACCCCAGTGTTTAGTACTCCCCTTTCTGTGTCCATGTGTTCTCATTTTTCATCACCCGCCTATGAGTGAGAATATGCGGTGTTTCATTTTCTGTTCTTGTGTCAGTTTGCTGAGAATGATGTTCTCCAGATTCATCCATGTCACTACAAACGACACGAACTCATCATTTCTGATTGCTGCATAATATTCCATGGTGTATATGTGCCACATTTTCCCAATCCAGTCTATCATCAATGGGCATTTGGGTTGATTCCAGGTCTTTGCTATTGTAAACAGTGCTGCAATGAACATTCGTGTGCATGTGTCCTTATAGTAGAATGATTTATAGTCCTTTGGGTATATACCCAGTAATGGGATTGCTGGGTCAAATGGAATTTCTATTTCTAAGGCCTTGAAGACCCTTTTTGAGTCAGATCTAGTAATTCACTGTAACAGTCCAACGAGAAGGCCAAGAATGCATTTAACTGTGCAAGGTCTGTATCTCCCAAGCCTGGATACCATCATTATTGTATTAATTGCCCCAGGCTTGAATCTCTAGATCTCTTTGTCTTTCCCTCACTCCTTTCATTTAACAAGTATGGGTGGATATGTGACTCTTATATTCATATAGTCACTGAAGGTCTCCTGTTACTAAATGGGCCTCTGTTGACACTGTCACTGTCCCAACCCTATGCTCGCTCCTTGTCTGAAACCTGGAGTGGCCTCCTTGCTGGTATCTCTGGTCTGCGTTTTTCAAGGCCATTGGCTGCCTGTTTGTCTTATGGCTTCTTGCCTGGCCTCCCAGACTTCACTGGCTTCTCATTTTCCACCACATAAAACATATGTTTCGCTGACCTTGTTCAAGTCTTCCATAAGCTGCGTATTCACATTAGTATTTACTCTTACCAAACTTACAGATCTGCAGAAGGTCTATCACATTCAAATACCAGGACCCCTGATCTGCTTTCTTCTCTTCCTCTATATCACTGGGTCTCCCTCTCATGTCTGTCTGTCAATAAACTTTCCCTAGGTGTCTCAGTCCTCATCAGTGAAGATGATGGTAACAGAGGTTAATGTACAGGAGTTTGGAGTTTAACTCACACTAGCTGTGTGAGTTTGGAAAAAGGACTTAACCTCTGTGTGCCTTAATTTCTTCCATGGAAAATGAGGTTAGTAATAATACCAAATAATCCACAAGTCTCCATAATTTTTAATGACTAGCATTTATTTCTTGCTCATGGTATATGTGGGCAATAGGTAGGCTGCATCTTTGCTTTTTTTCATTCTAGGGAACAGAGTGAAGGAGTAGCTCCTGTTTCTGGGACACGTTATCGTCACGGTCAGTATTGTGATGAGACCTCTGGGTGCTTCTTAGAGCTTCTGTTGAGTCACGTCTGCCCATTTCCACTGCCTAATATTTGTCACATGGCTTACCCTAAAGTCACAGGGTGGGGCTGTTTTTTCCTCCCACAAAGATAGGAGCAGGGACTATTTGTGATTAATAATGTAGTCCATGATGCTGCCTCATAGGATTATTGTGAAGTGTAAATTAGTTAATAGGCATGAGAGCTTAAAAGGATGCCTGGCACATGGTAAGGACTCCATGTTCTATGCTAAGTACTGTATGGGTGTCATGTAGTTTAATCCTGTGAGTTTGATATTATTATCCCCAGTTTACAAATGAGTAAACTTAGACTTACAGAGGATAGCTAAATTCTCCACAGTCATAACAGTTTGCAAGGATCAGAATGGGCATTCAAACCAGACCTATGAGAACTTCAGAATCTTTTACCATTCTGGAAAACATGTATTGGGAGGGCTCCTCCTAAACTTAATGAGCTTCTTTCACTGCTGCCACTGCGGTCTCTACCACCTCTGCAGAATCTGCCATGGCCTTTAAGGACTTGCCCCTAGACAGCTGTCCACCCAAAGAAACAGCTCCCAAAGTCCCAAGATTTTGCTTACAATAACCTTCAAGCTTGGGCTAGGGCTTTATTGAAATCACAGAGGCCAACTCGATGGAAGACCAACTGTGTGGTTAGTATGTGGACTCTGAAGATCTCAATCCCACTTTTGGAGAGTAGGATACATTTACATACTATCTTGATCTTGCCTTCTATGGGATCTTATTTGTCTAATTCTTTGCTGGACTCCCCTATGCCCACTCCCCGAGGCAGAAGAAAGACTCTACAGTCTGTACATTGCTATGGAGAATTACCTATTTGTCCCTCTTCCTGTATCTCATTAGTATACAAATGATAGAATAAGAAATATAGGCATTTGCAATCTTATAAGACTAGACCTGTCTACTTTCAAGGCTTAGAGGTTGGGGTAAGTCCTTAAAATAATTTTTTGACCCTCGCATTCATTCTTCCAAGCCCAGGACAGGGCAAATCTTCCACTTTGTACTTGGTAGTATCTCTTCTATGAGGTTATGAGCTAGCTTCATGAGAGTAGAAGGCCATCTTTCATGATACCTCTGCATTTCTCTACAATGCCTATGAGCTTGAGGCCATGATTAAAGGCTTCAAGAGAGAATATGCAGGATGAATTATATTCAGGCTTTGTCTTTGGGGATCTAAGAGCATTGTCTTTCAACTCTTAAATGGAGACAGTAATGTTTCCCTCACCGAATTGTCATGAGGATTCAAATTTCAAAGGAGGCAGTATAGTGAAGTGGTAAGAGCATGTTCTAGAGCCAGAGCCCAGCTCACTACTTACCATGTTTAGTTTGTGCTTCTATTTTCTCATCTATAGAATAGAGATAATAATATTAATAGTACTTATTTCACAAGTTTTTTAATGAAGATTAAATGAGTTAGTGTAGGTTTGGGCACGTGAGAACTAAATAAATGTTAGCCATTGTAAATAGCAAAATAATACATCTAAAAAGTGTTGCAGGACTTTTCCTTAATTCAGCTGAAGACAGGGTCCTTGTCCGTGCCACGGCCATGAAAATTTAGGCTCACAGACAGTTTGAAGGGTGAGTAAAGCAGGATTTTGGGGGGTTATAAAGGGGGAACATGAAACCTTCGCAAAGCCAGAATCCCTCCTAGAGCACTTCCCACCCACAGCTTGAATCCCAGATTCCACACAGGAAGAGGAGGGGCCAGGCCCCTCCCCTGCTGCAAATGGTGCCAACCTCTGTGGCTCCACTCCCAGTGTACTCTTCCCAGTGTGTAGGCCTGTTGGAGTTTTTCTGGGAACTCCCTCCCACCTGGCTGTCTCAAAAGCATCTAGAATTACCTAGAACTGTGCTACTCAAAGTATCCACTACAGTGAGATAAAGAACTTGGGCTCTAATATAAATCAGCATTCTCCTTCTTTGAAAAATTCTTGCTAGGGAAAAAAATATGTGCTTGTTGATAAATTTAATGTACATTCCAGCTCTAGCTTCTTTTTTTCTTTATAGATCAACAACAACAGTTCACATGGCATACTTTTTGTTTTCCTGACCCAGGATATAGTAGGCAGTCATAAATTTGTTTATATTTACATAGAAAAGGCTTTCTATGTAAAGGAACTTATTAAGAGGAAGTAAGTTTGTGGATTTGAAGTTGTGTGTACGTCATACATTACAAATCTATTTGTAATCTTTCTTTATCTTAAAAGTTACAAACAAGGTAAATCACAGCCATTTTTTGGTATAAGTTTTGAATATTTTTCTTGTAGGAAGAACAGATAAAGGTAGCTATGTGGGTTGTCATGTGAAGCCTAGAATGGGCTTTTCCAGAGAGCAGGAAGACACAGAGGTGTTATCCTCATTTTCTTTTGCCACCATGTTAGCATGTTTAGAGTCAAATATATAAAACTAAGCACAGTTGTTAACAGTTAATACAGGTGAGATTTCTTTGTATAAATAAGTTTGGAAACTATGCCTATTGTTTACAAGAAAACCCAATTATGATGTTTTTACCTTTTTTTTGCTTCTTTTATACCAAAGCAATTTAACATGAAATTAGTAATTATATTGATCGGGGTTCTCCAGAGCAACAGAAACAATAGATAGATAGATAGATAGATAGATAGATAGATAGATAGATAGATAGATAGAGATTTATTATACGGAATTGGCTCATGTGGTTATGGAGGCCAAGAAGTCCCACAACCCACAGTCTGGCAAGCTGAAAGGCCAGGAGAGCCAATAGTATAGTTCCAGGTTGAGTCTGTAGGCCTGACAACTGGAAAAGCCAATGGTATAAGCTCCAGTCCAAGTTGGAAGACTCCCAAGGCAGAAGACCTATGTTCCAACTAAAAAGACCATGTTGCCCAGGCTGGTCTCAAACTCCTGAGCTCAGGCAATCTCCTGCCTCAGCCTCCCAAGTAGTTGAGACTATAGGCACACACTGCCACACCCAGCTAATTTCTTCTATATTTTAGTAGAGACAGGATTTCACCATGTTACAGAAGAATTTCTTAAACCCAGGAAGCAGAGGTTGCAATAAACTGAGATCACACAACTGCACTCCAGCATGAGTGACAGAGAGAGACTCCATCTCTAAATACATACTTACCTACATAAAATTTAAAAATATATAAACAAAAAGACAGAAAGAACAAATTCTCCATTATTCCACCATTTTACTGTATTTAGACCTTAAACTGATTGGATGAGACCCACCCACATTTGGGAGGCAGTCTACTTCACACAGTCTACTGATTCATATGTTAATCTCAGCCAGAAATACCTTCACAGACACACCCAAAATAATGTATAACCAAATCTCTAGGCACCCAAGAGACCATTCAGTTGAAACAAAAAAATTAATCTTCACAGTAATATTAGATGCAGCCCTATGAGGAGAAACTTGTTTGATTTCTACAAACTTTTAAAGAAGATTTTTTTCAATAAAAGTTGATTTTATTACTGAGACTACTTTTGGAAACATTTTAACTTCTTATTATTTGAATACATTTTTAAAAATTTCTACAAATAGTGTTTTTTTAATGAGAGATTATTGACAATATTTTCTGATGGATTACAACTGAAAATGGAAAGACAAGTGCCAGTGGTTGTTCTGGGAATTTTTCACTTGCAGGAGAGTCCTGTTTTGGGCTAAAAAAATAGATTTGATAAATTATGGAGGAAACCTATCGAGTGATAGGGCAGAGAAAGGCAGCCTGCTTTGTGCAACTGTATCTCCTAATATCTTTGTCAAAATGGCATCATAAGGATCTACAGCAAAGTTGGTAACCCTCTGTCATTCCAGAGAAAAAGGGATATAGGATATAGATAGTGCAGCCTGAGATTCTCAGGGCATGGATAAAAACGATTCAAAAACAGAAAAGAACCATTTGAAAATGCAAAAGAAAATGGATATTCTAGGAGCGAACTGGATTATTTTTTCAGACGTGTGGTCTTCTTGTAACCTTTATGAATAGTACCATAGCTCCACCTACTGCATAAGGAGGCAAAGAGGCAAAACGCTGTCCGTCACAAAGAACCTTCTTCCCCCACCTGCCGGAATTGTTGGTTTTGCTTTTGGTTTTCTGATTTTTTTAATCTTTTGGTTCTTTACCCAAGCGAAGTCACTGAAACTGTTCTTATTTTTTATTTCCAATCTTTCTTTCTCTCCTCTTCCTCCTAATTGCATGATTGAAGGATTTATGGGTATCATTTCAAAAGCTAAGATTTCAAATAAAACATAATAGAAAATTATAATTTGATGATTTGAGGTGTCTAGAAATGCATAAAATACAATTTAGATATATATACTGTACTTGGATAACATGTCGGAAAGACTGGGGAAGGGAAAAGGCATTATTGTTACCTGATGAGGAGAACAACACAGTTTTAAAGACTTGAATTCCCTGACACCAATTTGCTTGGTGCCTTGAACAAGTAACTTAACTCTCTTTGTGTGCTGCAGTATCCCCATTTAAAAAAAAAAAATGAGAATAACGGCATATGCCTTTTCTCTGCCTCATAGATTCTTATCAGAATGATAGAAGATAAAGTAATGCCCCACTTATCCAGGCATCATACTTCCAGCCTTAGCCATCTGTAATGAATCTCAGAAGCAGACAGAAAAAGGCCTCTGAGCAATGAGAGCACTGCAGGCTTTAAGAAAATGCAAAGTCCATTGACTTGGAATTGTGTGTCAGTTAAGCTAAATGTGTGCTGAGCTTGCAATGTATACATGTGTTTGTGTGCATGTGTTTTTCTTTTCTCTGGAATTCTTCCCTCTCCGTAGTTACCTACGAAGATAGATTTTTATTTTAATGGAAAGACAAGAAAGGGAAAATATGATTGAGGCAGATGAAAGTATCTCCTTAGAAATTCACCACAAAGAGGGTGTAAATTAATTCAACCACTGTGGAAGACAGTGTCATGATTCCTCAAAGACCTAGAGATAGAAATACCATTTGACCCAGCAATCCCATTACTGGGTGTATACCCAAAGGAATATAAAGCATTCTGTTACAAAGATATGTGCACATGTATGTTCATTGCAGCAGTATTGACAATAACAAAGACATGGAATCAACCCAAATACCTATCAATAATAGACTGGATAAAGAAATTGTGGTACATATACATCATGGAATACTATGCAGCTGTAAAAAGGAATGAGATTATGTCATTTCCAGGGATATGGATGTAGCTGGAAGCCGTTATCCTCAGCAAACTAGTGCAGGAACAGAAAACCAAACACCACATGTTCTCACTTGTAAGTAGGAGGTGAATGATGAGAACACATGGACACTTGGGAGGGAACAACATATACGAGGGCCTGTTGGAGGGTGGGGAGTGGGAGGAGATAGAACATCAGGAAGAATAGCTAATGGATGCTGGGCTTAATACCTAGGTGATGGGATGTTCTGTGTAGCAAACCACCAGATACACCTTTACCTATCCTATGTAACAAACACACATTCTGCACATGTACCCAGGAACGTAAAAGTTGGAAAACAAAAAGAAATTCACCATGAAGATAACTGGAGAAGAGGCCAGAACTAGAGATAAATAGCTCTCTGTGTTTCAGTCAATCACATTGTACTGGTTTCCTGTTTCAGAGTTTACAGGATTTAGTGAAAGTTTCTGAATCATGGACTGAATGCTTGTTTTACAACAAAGTTTGTAATGCATTTACAAAAAAAGAAAAATGTACTGCATTTTAGGAAGCCTTCTATTAAAAAGGAAGGGAATATGCATCATTTATGTAGAAAATCAACATACATGGAATATTTCATTTTTTTCCTCTGTAATGTTAGATATATTTAATACTACTGTTCTATTTTAGAAACACGGAATTTCTCATATGGAAAAGTTAATTCCCATGTTTTTCTCCTTTGTAGTTCCTGATCTGATTTAAATCACTTTCCAAATCATTTGAAAGCCAAAACAAGGAGTTATATTCTTGAAATTTGTTTTTGAAGGACAGGGGTGTTTTACAAATTAAAAATGTAAATTATATATATTTTTATTTTATTTAGCCTTTTAAAATAAGCTTTCTCCTTTTTTGGATAAAACTGAAAACTTCCAGTTCTGCATGGATATTTATGTAGATATTTTTTACATACCTTAGATAACTAAGCATTATATTTTCATTCAGTAAGGGCAACAAATTATATATTTCATATTCAAATGTTTTATATAACACCTTCATTAAAATATGTACTGAATTTATAAATTAAATTTGAACAAATTTCAAAATTATTTTTGTATTTATTGTCTGATGGAGGCAGGCAAAATGTGACACCCCAGCATTCTTTTACCCCGAGATATGAAAATCTTCTGACAATTCAAATGAGATTAGTATAGACTAGGACTTCTCAAACCATTAGAAGAACGAGGTGAGGCTTTTCTCTTTCATTTTAATTTCTTGTTTTTCTGACCAATGTGTCATTCAACTGACTATACGTAGTGCCAGTACATAGTTAGGGCCATATGCCACTCCATGTGCCTTTGACAACCCCACTCACCCTGTTTAATGAGATGAGCCCTGTGCTCACATACTTGGATGTTACAGCAATGTCAAATTGGTATATAAGTTTCTGAACAATCTAAATTTTTGTGCTTAACCTGGTCATTTGCTGGTAACAATAAATTTGCAGGCAGACATCTTAGAATAGTACTGGGTAAACTGGGGATTAACAGCACACAGCCTGGAATCAGACTGCCTGGGTTTGAATCTCAGCTTTACCATTTGCAGCCTGAGACCCTGCCTGAGGTCATTTAACCTCTTGTGCCCCAGGTTCCTTATTGGTAGAATGAGGATAACAATGCTTACCCATTTCATAGGGTTGCCACAAGCATTATACAAACAAAATACTTAATACCTTAGAACTTAATAACATAATAGTTTGCTTGCAATGTATTTAGCAGCAGTAATAATATTAATAAATCAGTAAAATTTTGAACCTACTTGAAATTTCCGTATTTTGCTGAATTATCAAGAATAACTGTTCCAAAACCTAATTTACTTTTAAGGCAGAGTCCTGGGCCACAGACCAGCACCAGTAAGTGGCCTGTTAGGAACTGTGCCACACAGCAGGAGGTGAACAGGGGCTAAAGAGCATTATTGCCTGAGCTCCACCTCCTGTCATCAGATCAGCAGTGGCATTAGATTCTTATAGGCGTGCAGACCCTACTGTGAAGTGTGCATGCTAGGGATTTAATTGTGAGCTCCTTATGAGAGTCTAATGTCTCATGATCTGAGGTGAAACAGTTTCAGCCTGAAACCATCCTCTCCCTGCACTACCACACCCTTCCCCTGGTTCATGAAAAAATTGTCTTCCACGAAACCAGTCTCTAGTGCCAAAAAGGTTGGGAACTGGTGTTTTAGGGGATATATTTTAAGCAAATAGAGACCATGAAAGTAATCTAAATCAAGGACATTATTTGGGGGGGAGTGTGATTTGTTCATATTGAGGTTCAAAAATTCAAGAATATTTAATATTCAGTGAATATTTATTGAAATGCTGTTTCATATATAGCCTTTAGAGGATGTGATTAGTTTCCTAGGGAGGAGGTAAGCAGTTTTGTTACTGAATATTTGTCAGATGTCACAGCTAAAGAAATCTGGTTGGAGATGGTTACTGATGAGTATTTGGTTCTTAGGAGAGGAACTTAACTACAGATTGTTGAGGATGTGGACCACAATTGGAATTTATATAGTGTAGATCTCAAGGTAAAGAAAATATTATAAATGCTTTCCTTTGAAAAAAGGCATATTTTAATTAATTCATTCATTCATGTGTTCATGATTGTGTACCTAGAAAACATATGTTTAATGTTTTCTTTATATTTGGCAAATTCATTCATTTGGTAAATATTATTAGAGCCCACTGTGTGCCAAGTGAAGTTGCTGAGAATATTTTCACTCTCACAAGGTAGATAAAATCTTTGTCTTCATGAAGTTTGCATTCTAGTGTGGAGGCAAGAAAGAAAAGCAGATTTAAAAAAAAAAAAGAAAAGTGAGTGTTAAGAAGTAAGTGCACAGAGTACAGGTTGAATATCCCTATTTGAAATGCTTGGTACCAAAGTTGTTTCAGATCTTAGACTTTTTTAGGTTTTGGAATATTTGCATCTCACACACACACACACACACACACTCACACACCAACTGAGCATTCTGAATCTGAAAAATGCTCCAATGAACATTTCCTTTGACCATCATGTTGGCGCTCAAAAAGTTTCAGATTTTAGAGCATTTCAGAATTCTGATCTTTGGATTTGGGATGCTCAACCTGAAATTAGAAAGTATACCGAAAAATCTACTTTAGGAAAAATGGTCAGGATAAGTACCTCTAAGGAAGTAACATTTGAACTGAGACTCAAAGGATGAGGAACAAGCCATATTAAAACCACTCTAGGAGATGTAAAAGCTCCTGTTTACTCTGTGAAGCACTTCAGGTATTTCAAAGAACTCCTCAGCAGCAGTAGATGCAGTGTCTTTTCTCTAGCAACAAAACAAAAATCAGGCATTTTTTATACACGTATACAAAACCAATGACAACTCATTACCTATTCTTGGGAAGAAATAAATGACCAAAGTTCCAACTATATTTTACATCTTTGTTCATAGCAGAGGCTAGCAGCCCTAGTAGCAGAGGCCAGACATTGTTTGCAGGCAGTTTCTACTTTAATTTACTATGCTAGTATTTCTTTCTCTTTGGAGTTGTTAATTTCTTCATCACAGGACCTCTCTGAGGGCTGATTAGGACTGCAGTTCAGAGTGTTTCCAGGGCATTGTGAGAGCACAAAATGTATTCCTTGTGCTCCTATCTTTATTACATACTATTCATCAGTACATTGCAGGAACCTCTTAGGCATTTAATCTATTGGGAGTTTCTGTTGATACAAATTAGTTTCATTTACTCTAATTTTTATACTTTATCCACAGGATTAACTCTTGACTGTTTTGAAACTCTTGTTTGCCACCTTTTTCAGAGGTCATGGTTTTTTCTGTTTCTGCTCTAGCACATGCCTTGTCTTGTGGCTTTGCTAATAATAAATCAATAAATGGCTCACTTCTTCCTCTCATCCAAATGAAGCCATATATGGTAAGCATTAATTTTATAATAAATTTTATTGGTCAGAAGAGCTAACTGCCATATACATTTTTCACATAGACTATGGAAATTAATTTACTTCCAATATTGAAAAATTATCATCCACTTGTAAAGTATAAACTGAGTCTTGGTTTATTTTATCAAAAGCAGTATCCAAGTCAAACTTCTTTTTTCATTCATAAGTTCACTTTTATAGATTTATTTCGAATATATTTATATTACAAAATTTTATCTTCCTTTGGTAGAGTGGAATATCTAAAAAAGTTTATTAATGAATCTTGAAATCCTTGGTCATGAACTACTTACAGTGTCCTCTTTGCATACTTCAGTGATACTGAATACTTTCTTAAAGACAGGAAATGAGTAATGCTGTATATAGTGAAACTCTAGGAAGAATTTAAAATGTAATCATCATTAGCAAAAATTCTAAAAGCAGCATGTTCTTACTAAGTACATTGGCTTCCTTGCTATCTTAATTCTGTATATTTGCTTTCTTTACATAAGAAGTTCTACTATTAGTATTGCAGATCTAGAGCCAATGATAGAGTGACCTAGATTCTGTGTGTCTTATATATAATCATCTGGATTTTTCAACTAGTCCTGATTTTATTAACAGTAAGAGTAAACATATAAAAGAAAAAAGGCACAATGGAAATTTCAGGTTTGGCTGATTTGAGTGATGAACTAAAATACTCATTGACCTTTCTTCATGATTTTTCTTTATTTCTGCCAGTTTCTCGTTAATCTTGTATTTAGTATTGTTTAAATGCAGTACACTAATTTCATCTTGTGTTATATAACCTGGAAAATTTGTTTCTGTAAATAGCACAGAATATAATTATTTTACAAATGAACTCCTGGCAAAAGATATCATCATAACATTTGGGACCATAGATACTGATGGTCTCTTGGCAAATTACTATTTTTTCTTCAGGCTTCCATTTGCAAAGTAATAATCATAAATTGGACTAAAATGGGAAGTATTTTTAAATGACAGTGATTTAGAAAAAAGACTAGAGGTTGAAGAAAATTTAGAAGTAATAATGGCTAAATATTTTATATTTATATTTCTTTTCAGGCGCAACTGAAGGTGCAGAAATACTTTCTTAATCCATTTGTGCTGCTTCAATGAAATATCATAAACTAAGTAACTTACAAACTACAGAAATTTTTGTTGCAGTTGACAAGGAAACATGGCGAAGGAATTGCTTTTGCCAGTGAAGATGAGTATGAGTTGGCATATGTCACTTTAGTAGAAAGCTTTAGAAATGTCCCTGTTCCCATCTTAGTGCTCTGCAGATTATGGAAGAATGTACCAGCCTAAGTCCCAGAGTTACCAGAATAAGTAGGACCTCCTGCTGCCCCGTGGAACATATAGTGCAAAGAAGGCATAATCTTTTACATGTTAAGTTTCTGAGATTTGTGAGTTATTTACTACTTTGGCATAACCCATCTTGACGGATATAGGATCTAAAAGTATAACTTAGTCACAGATTAAGGTGCTAACTTTTCTAGATTGCTAAGGCCCTTTATTATTCTGGCTGTTTAATTTCATTGACGGCTTTTTTTCTGCATCTCGCCAGTTGATCATATTTTTTCCATTTTAATCTGTTAATGTCATGGATAACATTACAGATATTCTCATATTTAAACTTCCTTCCATTATTGACAGTAGCCTCTGTTATTCATCAAGTATGGTATATTTTTTCTTTATTATTGGAATTATTATATTTCCAATTATTATTTTTACACTTTAAGTTCTGGGGTACATGTACGGAATGTGCAAGTTTGTTACGTAGTTAGCCACGTGCCATGGTGGTTTGCTGCATCCATCACCCTGTCATCTACATCAGGTATTTTTCCTAATGCTATGCCTCCCTTAGTCCCCTACCCCACTGTAGGCCCCAGTGTGTAATGCTCCCCTCCCTGTGTCGATGTGTTCTCATTGTTCAACTCTCACTTCTGAGTGAGAGCATGCGATGTTTGGTTTTCTGTTCTTGTGTTAGTTTTCTGAGAATTATGGTTTCTAGCTCCATCCATGGCCCCATAAAGGACACGGACTCATTCTTTTTTATGGCATGGTATTCCATGCTATATACCTACCACATTTTTATCCAGTCTATCATTGATGGGTGTTTGGGTTGGTTCCAAGTCTTTGCTATTGTGAACAGTGCCGCAGTAAACATACGTGTGCATGTGTCTTTATAGTAGAATGATTTATAATTCTTTGGGTATATACCCAATAATGGAATTGCTGGGTCAAATGGTATTTCTATTTCTAGGTCCTTGAGGAATCGCCACACTGTCTTCCACAATGGTTGCACTAATTTACATTCCCACCAACAGTGTGAAAGCATTCCTATTTCTCCACATCCTCTCCAGCATCTGTTGTCTCCCGATTTTTTAATGATCACCATTCTAACTGGTGTGAGATGGTATCACATTGTGGTTTTGATATGCATTTCTCTAATGACCAGTGATGATAAGCTTTTTTTAATATGTTTTTTGTTGGCTGCATAAATGTCTCCTTTTAAGAAGTGTCTCTTCATATCCTTTGCCCACTTTTTGATGGAGTTGTTTGTTTTTTTTCTTGTAAATTTATATAAGTTCCTTGTAGATTCTGAATATTAGCCCTTTGTCGGATGGATAGATTGTAAAAACTTTCTCCTATTCTGGAGGTTGCCTGTTCATTCTGATGAGAGTTTTTTGCTGTGCTTTTTTAGTTTAATCAGATCCCATTTGTCAATTTTGGCTTTTGTTGCTGTTGTTTTGGTGTTTTAGTAATGAAGTCCTTGCCCAGGCCTATGTCCTGAATGGTATTGCCTAGGTTTTCTTCTAGGGTTTTTATGGTTTTAGGTCTTACATTTAAATCTTTGATCCATCTTGAGTTAATTTTTGTATAAGGTGTAAGTAAAGGATCCAGTTTCAGCTTTCTGCATATGACTAGCCAGTTTTCCCAGCACCATTTATTAAATAGGGAGTCCTTTCCCTGTTGCTTGTTTTTGTCAGCTTTGGCAAAGATGTGTGGTATTATTTTCTGAGGCCTCTGTTCTGTTCCATTGGTCTATGTCTCTATTTTGGTACTGGTACCATGCTATTTTGATTACTGTCACCTTGTAGTGTAATTTGAAGTCAGGTAGTGTGATGCCTGCGGCTTTGTTCTTTTTGCTTAGGATAGTCTTGGCTATCTGGGCTCTTTTATGGTTCCACATGAAATTTAAGATGGTTTTTCCAATTCTGTGAAGAAAGTTAGTGGTAACTTGATAGGAATAGCACTGAATCTATAAATTACTTTGGGCAGTATGGCCATTTTTACAGTATTGATTGTTCCTAGCCATGAGCATGGAATGTTTTTCCATTTGTTTGTGTCCTCTTTTATTTCCTTGAGTAGTGTTTTGTAGTTCTCCTTGAGGAGGCCCTTCACATCCCTTGTTAGTTGTATTCCTAGGTATTTTATTCTCTTTTTAGTAATTGTGAATGGGCGTTCACTCATGATTTGGCTGTTATTGTTGTATAGGAATATGGTATTTTTATACATTGTCAGATTGAGTTTTCTATTCTTTAAGACTTTTATATACATGTATTTATTATTAGATTATTTTATAATTTTTCTAGCCATTTCCATATATTTTTATGATAAAGTTATATTTGATAAATTAAGTTGGGGTGTTTTAATCTTTTTCACATATCAAACAATCTGTATTGGGTTCCTTAAAGGTTTGATAGAACTTGTCTTTAAAACCTCTGGTCCTGGTGCTTTTTAGTGGATAGATTTTTAACTACCAATACCAAATAATTATAGGTATTTTTATGTTTTCTATTTTTAACTCTTGTCATTTTTAATAATTATACTATTCCAGAAGTGTCACTTTGTTTCCAGTTTAATAGTATACAGTTATAAAAGTTATGTGAGAGTTTATAAATAGCTATATATGTAAAAGTATATATCATTTTTTGTTCTTTGCTGTATCTGTACAATGCTGATACTGTATTTTTAAATTTCTAATATTGTATATATTTTTCTTAACCTTTTCAGAGATTTTGTATTTCATTGGTCTGTTCAAAGAATCAGATTTTTGCTTTAGGTAATGCTCTCAAAGTTTCCATTTCAATTATTTTTTTAATTTTTGCCTTCTTTCTATTTTTGTAAATATATTGTTTTTCCAACATTTTGAGTTGAATGCTTAACCCAGCAAGCTTAATCTTACTTTTTTAATAGGCACTTTAAGGCTATACATTTAGATTCATTTCAATTTGTTATATGTAATACATGCTTTTTTTTTAAACCTTGATCACTTGGAAGTTATCTTTTATTTCTGTTCTTTAATGGTTACCCTTAAATTTTTAGCACTCATATTTGACTTAAAGTTGAAACTTAGTGGCTCGTTCTCTTATAACACAACCACCTTACCTAAGAAAGCTTTAACTCCAGTTGTATTCCACCAATCTCCTTGTTTCTTTATCTCTCTGTGTTCCATTATGAATAATTTTTGTCAGATTACTAATTTTTTTAGCTCTGTTTAATATATTGTTTTGCTGGCACTTTTTTTTTTATTAAAAATGATTTCAATTTCTAGAACTCTATTTGGTTCTTTTTCAAATCTGTTGTTTATGATATTCTATTTACTTATTATAGTTTTAAACATATTTTATGGTGACTTTCAGATTGCTCTGTTCTCTCAACTTCTAAACAAGTGACTCTTCCTATTATATTTACTGACTCTCCCTCATGGTATATCATTTCCTTGTGTAGTTAGTAACTTTGGAATGTGACTTTATCTTATTGAAGGTTGTTTTTTGTGAGAGTACCCATTAACATGGATTGCTGGTATGTCCCCATAGAAAACCTTTGCTTTTTATTCAGAGGGTACCTCAAGGCTTTTACTGACATAGAACCAGTTTTTAAATGTCTTTCTCAGCTTGGGATTCTCTCACAAGGGTAGTTTAAAGTCAGACTCAGGTCATGTACATGGTTTAGGCTTAAGGATTTAATTTCTCACAGTCGACTTTTTACTCAACCCAATTTATTTTTTATTTATTGTTTGCTAGTTCTTGTTTTTCTGTACAGAAATTTCTAGAACTCCTTTCACAGCAGGGGCAGTTATTCCAAGGTCTGGCTTTCCTCAGGAGGCTCAGTTCCAGCTTCCCATCTTATTTAAGCCGAAGGCCACATCTACTTTCTCAATATAGGTGTTATAATCCTGAGGCCCCCATCTATAATTTTATCTGTGTCTGTGCACACACACATACATATTAACCATCTGATTCCTATATGCATTTAGGCTAGATATCTCATCCCCCCAATAAACATATACCCTGCTTTGGCATCAGCTGATAGCTGACTGGTCCTGGCTTTTATTTCCTCTTTATTCTGATACCTAATCAACTTCCTATTTTATCTTTCAAACTTATTTATATATTTAATGTTCATTTTTCTTATATTTTCCCAGACTATGTGTTTGTAGCAGTTAGGGAATATCTACTAGCTCAGTTCATGTTGGTAAAATCTCTTAGTTTCTAATAAAGGAAAACGAATGGTTAGCCAAAATAGAGAAATGTAATTATACTTACAGGCTGAATCAGGGATGAGAGTGAACTATTAGAGAAAACTGTTTCTAGACATTCTCCCATCCAGTGTCTATTCAATATGTACTATATAAGATTCCAGAGACTGTTCTAGACCCTGGGGTTACAAAGATGATAAGAAATAATTCCCTTCCTTAGTGAGTTCATAGTCTATCAAAGAGAATGATGTAGAACAAATAGAATGTAGTGAGAGAAATGCTAACAGAAGTTTATATAATTGCTATGAAGACTAAATAAAATACAGTTCTTATTTTTGCCTTTAAGTTAGAGGTTTGTTGATGGAACATGCGATGTTGCTAAGGGGTTTTATAGAACAAAAAACTCACAAATGGTGAACAAGCTGTTTTTGGATGAATGATAAACATGTGCAAAGGCCACACTACTAGTGTAGTATATTGGTTTGGCTGGAGAATAAGGAGTAAGTGGAGAAGTGATGGTAGATGGATCTGGAGAAATAGGCACCAATTTTTGGATTTTATTCTGTAGGCAAGGGATTGATTGTTTTTATGAATTAGAAAGATAACATTGCTGGTTATTTTTCTAAAGATGTATTAAGTTGCTGAGACAAAAAAAACTAGATATGGTGAGTGTAGTTAGGAGGTTGTTGCAGTCAATCAGGCCAGGGATGATGGATATTGAAAAGCAAGAGTAGAGATGAAGAGGAAGGAATAGACTTCAGCAAAGGGGACTCTCAGAGAAATTTTTCAATGTTAGTATAAAGAGAATAGGAAGAATATTAATAAATAAACCAAAATTTACCCAGCACAGTGGTTTACACCTGTAATCCTAACACTTTGGGAGGCCAAAGCAGGAGGATGACTTGAGCACAAGAGTTCAAGACTAGTCTGGGCAACATAGCAAAACCCTGTTTCTACAAAAATAAAGTTAAGATAAAAAATCAGCTGGCCATTGTGGTGGGCTCCTGTAGTCCTAGTCCTCCAGTCCTAGTGCCTCAGTCCTACTCGGGAGGCTGATGCAGGAGGATCACTGAGCCCAGGACATCGAGGCTGCAGTGAGCTGTGATCATGCCACTGCACTCCAACCTGAGTGACAGAGGGAGATCCTGCCCCCCACACCCCAAAAATAATCAAAATTTATTGAGCAATGACACCATGCAAGCAACTTTACCAAGTTCCTTTAACTCTCACAAAACTCCATAAGTGATCATTTATAAATGAGAACGCCTCAGAGAAGTTCAGTAATAGCCCACCCAGCATGACACCTGTGTTGCTGTATCCAAATGCTATCTGATTCCCAAGCTGGTTTTCTTTCCACTCTTCTTGTTGCTTCTCTGTAGGGATTTTGTTTTAATTCTAATCATTGTTTTCCATGAGACTCTCTTTATATTGTAGTTTATCAGGTTAAATGATGAGCAATTCAAGAGTCTCTAAATAACTATAATTTGGAACTTCAAATGACTTCTCAACTGTAAGCTAATTAAATCTTCCAAGTCCAACCCCTCTAAAGTTAAAAGCAGTTCAGCATCTCTTTCCATGTCATTAGGCTGTATCTGCCTTTACAGTGTGATGATCCTGCTCATTACATTTCAGAGTTTGCTGGTCTCAATGTGTGGTTTGGTGGGGCTAAGAATAATAATTATTCCCAAATCCTCTGGGGAAAATTATCAGAACCCAATTCAGAAGCTGTACTATCACCACTAAGCTAGTTCAGAGTTCAAAAAACATTCACCACTTGGGATGTTCTGACAAATATAGTGTCACAATAAAGAAATAGGAAGCCAATAGCAATTATTGATGATCTGCTGCAGAAGAAGTTCTCTTGGGCACTTCAAATAAAGGTTTTATCTAAGTAGAGAAGATTTGATTTTAATAAGCAGGGTGGAATGCTATCCTAACTTGGCCTGCCAGGTGGATTCGTCTTCCTTTCCTCACCAGCCAAACTTACAAGCATTCTTTTCCTTTTCCATTTAAACACTAATGACTGGCAAAGAAATGCTGAGATGCAGTTATAAAGTTCAGAAATAGCCCAAGCTAACTCCTGAAACCATGCCTCACACTTATGAATTAGAATTTCTGGGTCAAGGGTGAAGAGAGTATATATTCAAAGTGATATATAGATGCCAGAGCGAGCCAGACTGCCTGGGTTGGAATTCTGATTCTGACACTCACTAGCCATGTGAACCTGGGTAAGTTACTTAGTGTCCTTGAGACTCAGTTTCCGCATCCATAAAATGGGAATAATAAGAGGACACATCCCATGGTGGTTGCTTGTAGATTAAACAATATCCATAAAGCATTTCGAATAGCACCTGGCACAGAGTAAGCCCTATATAGGTGTTGATTGTCGTAATTATTATTGTTGGTATCTATAAGTAACAATTTCTATTTTGGTGTGTTATGGTGATTGTTATTAAATTTGGATGATAAAATATTTACTCTATTTCCAAAAAGCAAATCTTTGAGTAGAATAAGAATAGGCAGTCTCTTTTATGCTTTCCCATTAGAATGTTTTGCTTTCATTTTGTTGTGTACATCTTTCAAATAGAAAAGATATAAAACTGAACCATAAGTTCTAAAACTGCCATCTAAATTGGGTATGGTTTTCACGCTTTTTCTTTTTTTCTTTTCTTTGAGAAAGAGTCTCGCTCTGTCGTATTTTCTTGTTAAATTGGAAACAATTTAGTGCACCCACATTCCTTCTGGTTTAAGTAATCTATAGGATTAAAATGACAAAAAAGTAGGATTAACTAGATTTATGATTGACAAAGGAGCGTTGCAAATAGCTTCTATATAACAGGTGTAGCTTTTTGAATAGATGTACCAGACTGACCCATAAAACCCACCCAGTTGCCATACTCCTCCACAGATGGCCACTTAAATGATTTAATTTCACTAAAATGATTCTGGCAAAGAATTCTTTAAAACAAACTGTAATGATTTATCATTTTGAGCTGTCTCAAGTACCATCATTATTCTAATGGTCCATGATCAGAATATTTTTCTTCAAATGCTTTCTCCCACTTTGGCTTTCCTTTTTCTTTTCAGACCCTCTTCATCTGCATATGCTTAATACTACTAATCAGGCTCTCTCCTTCACATTATCCAACCTACACTAAATTTCCTTACCTTACTCTTTTCCTTGGATTTGAGAAACATTCTGTCTTCTAATCTCTTCCTTTGTGAGTTGATTCTAGAAACTTTTAAGGTAACTTTGTCTTCAAGTTTGGAGGGCTACTTTATGATGGAAGGTAGACAACTCAGACAGAGGCATTAAGAGCTATCAGGCTGAGTAGTGAGAAGCCTATGACATTGAATTTAAGAATGGATATATACGTTTAGCAGGTCCTTACATTGCATTGACAAT